CTAGAAAGATAGACAGATAGATGGATAGATTATCTATCTGCAGGTCTTTAATCAAAGAATGCTTCCCAGAGCAGATGGAGTCTGTGTCCAGCTTTGATTATAAATTGGAGTTAGTAGACATAAAGGCTAAGTGATGGGAAACATTAAGCCATTTGTGAAAGATAACATGAAGGTAGTTTTTATTGACATTCAGAATCTTTGTGAGCCAATAACAAATGGTATGGGTAAACTCAAAGGAACAACTTGGTCAAAGGGCTTGAGGCCATAAAAAAGCTCTGTGAAGTTTATTTAATATGTCACAATCACATACTGTCAAGTGGAAGGTTACAGAAAATCTTGGTATCTAGTGATGACCCTGAAGTACTAAATATTGCTTCTCCAGTATTTAGTACAACACTTGGCATGTAGACAGAAAGATTTTTTGAATGAATAAATAGAAGACTAAGTAACTATAATCTATAAATTAATGTTATCTATGTTATCTAATATAAAATATTCATCTATGACTACTCATAAAGAACTAATTTTTCCTTCACCCATAGGCTATTCAATCTACATATTTTTTTAAATCAAAAAGTTGACCTTACGCATGAATCTTTGGTAAAAAGCTAACCATCTATAGCACAAAGATCCTCTGTCCATCTTTTACTCCCTCCCTCTCTTTGTCATGTCTCTGCAGTCTTTCCCACAGCTGCCCTTTGAAGGGCTACAGCCTTCAGGTAGCTCACCAGGCTTAGTCATGCTATGTCAGGAACAGAGCTCTGCCTGAGGCCTTGCTGTCCACCCAGGAGCCAGGGGCCTCACCTCAAAAACCTCATTTAAACTTACTTAACTGAGGGCTTTAATATGCCTATTAAATGGTATAAACCAGGGGCTGGCAAACAACAGCCTATGGCCCAAATTTAGCCTACCCCTTGTTTTTACAGATAAAGTTTTATTGAAGTACAGCCACACCCATTCATTTAAATACCGTCTGTGGCTGTCTTTATGGCTGTGCAATGAAAGAGACCGTATGGCCCAGGAAGCCTACAGCATTTACTATCTTGTACTTTATAGAAAAGGTTTGCTGACCCCTGGTATTTTAAGAAGTGCTTGCTTTCGTGGTTGTAAGTCAATCACAACAAACGTTTTGCCTTGTAGGATTTCAGGTATAAAACCAGTTTTCAGAAGTACTGATTTTTTTTTCACTATAGTGTTTTAACCCATAGCTGACAACTAGGCAACTTGTGTCAATGAGAAGGACCCAATCTATTCTTAGTTCTGAAATCAGCTCAGTATTATGACTGATTTCAGATTTTTCTTTGTAACCTTTTTTCTCACTGTCATTTCCTCACTTTCTCCATAACATTTCAGTGAATTCATGTTCTTTCTAAACCTTCTTCTCCCATCACCAAAATGTACCTCCTGAAAAATGAATCCTTACATTTCATTCTTACTAAAATGTGAAGGACTTTAAGCTTAAGAGTTACCTACACTTACCTCTCCAAGAGCAGTGAAACCCTTCCCTTTAGGTTTCCCTACCCATTATAAGTACCTCATTATAGCATTAAAATGCTGTATTGCATTTCTTCTATACTCATCTGCTTCAAGATCTTCCTAAAGCCAGAGGCCACTTATTTATCCTTAAACTTCTAGCACTCAGTACCCAGCTAAAAACCTACCTCCTCAAACATTCACTGAGGGAAGCGATAGAGGGGAAAAGGAACACAGTCTAGCTGATGGACTTCTTGGTTTAGAATATTACTTGTCTCTCTCAGATGTATTGTGTTTTGAGAGAACAAGACTTGAAGCCAAACAATGAAACTGTTGGTGGGATTTTAAACCATCAGGAAGCAAATGAGGGAGGTTTGGGAGTTAGGAAGACCTTGCTGGCACCCCTTAAAGTTTATGTTCACAGAAGGCTGTCTGTCACACCTAATTTTCTGGTCAGCCCTGAAGCTGAGAAGGAAAACCTACATACTACATCTATGAGAACAAAGACTAACTTTCCAGTGTTCAAAAGGAAATTTAAAAAATGCTGAATACATCCAAATTAGCAACTGAGGCAACATTAGCATGAAAACTAAATGAAAAAGTATTTGAAAGTCTATTGCCAGGAAGAAACCAGACAAAAACATTGAATGCCAGTAAAACATCCCCCAAAGTTGGCTGGAGTTACCCTTAGTGGGCAGCATAACGTGGTATTAAGAGCTATTGGAATCAAACTCTGGGTTTGAATCCTATCTCTACGTTTCACTGGCAACGTGACCTTAGGGAAGTTCTCTAACAATTTGAAACCTCCAAGTCATCATCCATGAAGGGGCGATACAAATAGTATCCATCTAATACAGCTTTTGATAGGATGAAGTATCATCATTAAAACATTAGGTGGTGTTATTTTTTTAAGAAACCATTCATTTATTTATTCATTCATTTACTCATTACGCACTTTCTATGTGCAAGTCATTGATTTATTCTTTCTAAAATATTCTGAGTGCACATTGTTCACACGGCACTAACTCAATGTGCCTGAAAATTAGATTCAATACACTATTACATCTCCTACAGACTTTTATTTGAAAACTGTTATATACCTAGCACTGCCTGCAAACTTTGGGAAATATCAGAGACAGAGAAGACTCTGTCCCAGCACTCATGGAACTTAAGAGCCCATTAGGGGGTGTTGTTAACTAGAGATTAATAGATGGCATACCATTGTTTTAATTTCTGCACTCTGTAAAATTGTATTTTATTATATTACTTTCTCCCTCCCACATACACATTTATTGAGATATAATTGACATAAAACATTGTGTAAGTTCAAGGTACACAGCATAATGATTTGATATATATATAAAACAAAATGGTCACCACATTAAGTTTAGTTACTATAATTACCTGACATAGTTACACTTTTTCCCCCTTGTGATCAGATAGATGGGAGATTATTAATCAGTCACAAGAGAAGAATGCAGCCTGAGGGAGTGAGGGAGACCTTCCGGACCTGGGCGTGGCTGGAGAGTAGGGTGTGGACTGGCAGCTTTCTTCACATCAGGAACCATGTGTTATTCTTCCACGAGCATCAGCTCCTCTAGATGCAAGCTCCAGGAAATCACGGGTTTTGTCTGTTTTGTTTATCGTGGTAACCCTAGTGCCTAGAACACTGCCTGGCACATAATGCATATTTGATAAACGTTTAAGGAAGAAAAAAGGAAGTCAATGAGTTTCTTAGATTAGGATAAGCCTGGTATGTTCCTGTTTAGTTTTGCGAACTTTCTCCTCCAGCTACTTATTTGACTCCATACAGCTCCTTTCAGCCTCCCCCACCCTCCTAATCTGTTTTGTGTTTACCTCTTGAATGTCCCTTGGGTTGGTGGGTATTTATATAAGTATTGTTTGATCCATCTGGGCAGTATTTTGACTCTTGTCCAGAAAAGATATTAAGCTAGAAAGACATTAAAAGTTCTAGACAGCTTCTAGCAACTACCCTGTTTATTTTTTAAATCCTCACCTGAAGATACATATGATTTTTAGAGAGAGAGGAAGTAGGGCAAAGAGAGAAAAAGAAACATCCATGTGAGCAAGAAAACACTGATCAATTGCCTCCTCTATAGACCACGACTGGATCTCAAACCCGCAACCTAGGTATGTACTCTGAATGGGAATCGAACCCACAACTTTTTTGTGTATGGGTTGATGCTCCAACCAACTGAGCCACCCTGACAGGGCCATCATTATATCAATTATTTAAAATGCTTCATGCATATGATTATTTATTCTTATTCCAAAATAGAAAAGCAAATTCATTTGAGGAATGTGTACATATCATTCCATAGGTCAACATACCTATTTATTCAACAAGCTTGTTTAAAAACCTTCTCTATGTCAAGTTCTGTTTTAATGCTTAGATTATATGATATTTCAATATGATATTGAAAGCATGAGCTTTCAATAAAGTCATTATAAAAACACAAAGTGGAGGGAGTGGCAGGAGGGAAAGAGAGTTCCTGGCTCTTCCTGAGCAGATCAGGAAAACACTGCTGGAGAAAAGGAGTCTAAGCTGGAATTTAGAGATGAGTATGAGTTTGCCTGGCAGATAAAGTAGAGATAAACAGGCAGATGGGAACTACCTGAGCCAAGGCGTAGAGACATAAAGTGCAGGGTAAGTGTCAAGAATAGAGAGCGGCTAGCTACTACTGGGTGCACGTCCTGCAGAAGTTTGTATCGGGAAATGGCAGTGATGACTCTGGGTGATGTAGGTTTGGTTAAGGTTCCATTCACACAACAAATGTTTACTGAGCTCTTACTAAACACAGGAATTTAAACCAGAAGCTAGGAGTTTAGGGTAAGAGGGGAGATAAGACAGGATTCAGCAAAACTACCTTGTAAAGTAAGACACTTTCCATGAGGGAGAACAGCAGTAGAGGAGTATTTCATTCATTGGTGTTTATCTAAAACAATGGATTGAGCACTAAATGAGCACCCACCAACATAACACAATGTGTTACTTTCACTGAAGGAGCTGGCAGTCTAGTGGAGTAAACAGACTTGTAAGTAGAATATTATATCATAATATATTCATTACCTTTTTCTGTTTTTCCATTTACAAGTGTCCTAGGAGTTAGATTTGTGTATCTGAATTTTGAATTCTGGCTCTTTCATTAACAGCATGACCTTAGGTGGATTCCTTAACTATCTCTTTAAGCCTCAGTTTCCATTTCATAGGGTGCTTGTGAACATCATTATAATGCATGTAAACCATTCAACAGGGTGTCAAGTAAAAGTTGGTGCTCGGTAATACCACTTGATTTTAAATTAGAATAACATCCACAAAGACCAATCTATTCAAAGTGTATGCATTTGAGGTCCACTGGGGACACATTTCCTCCAACCAGAAACTTTTCTGGCACTGACATGCAAGAGCAGGCTCATTGTTGAATGTTGACTCATGGGCGTGTGGCCTGCTCAGCAGTGGGAGAGAATTCTCTGAATTCTCTGAATTGCTGCCATCCCAGCCCACACCATGGATCTTCAGATCTTCAGCAGAGGACAGAATAAGGAGACGTACCAGAAGGCAGACAAGATTATTCCAAAGACCATGGGACTAGTCCCTTCGGATATGACCAGCCTGGGGACACGCAACTCAGGGTTAGTGAAAGTGTGGCCATTTGGGGGTTTCTGAATGCAGGGGTCGGGGGAGGCGGCTGGTAAGCCTGTGGGTTGTGAAGTCTGGGTCAGGCACCCAGTTATACAACCGCCTGGGTCCAAAGTTTTCTACTAAAGCAAAGAACCAGAATAACCAAACAACATCAAGCAAAAAAAAAAAAAAAAAAAAGGCATTGCTCAAGGATGTTTGTTTAGTTGTGTTTTCCCAAACAAAGGTCAGAGTGAAGCTATACTGCACTTACACAGTGACAGTGGTTTGCCAGCCACACCCCAAACATTTTGCATTTATTATTAGTTCATTTCCTAGCTTAATAGCCCTCTAAGGAAATCAAAAAATTCTTTTCCCACCTTATACCCCACATACACCATTTTGTTTGAGTGAGATAGATAAAAATTCTGAATTTATTGCAATGATTGCTTCCAGTAGATATTCAATCTAGAACTAGCTGCATATGATGATACTGCATGCAAACCATTTTATAAGAAGCAATTTTAATATTTGAAATAGCAAAAAGAAGATACAAATTTGGTGTTTGGGAGTCACCAACACCTCTCCCTTGTAGAAACCTAAATTCAAAGTCATTCTGAATTCATTGCAACTATTTACATTAATATCATTAATCCAGTGATCTGAGTAATCCCAGTTGACAGAGACATGGGGTCCTTTTACTGAAGTCCAAGAAATCAAGTCCATTGCCAGACCCGGGTAATACAGGGACAGGTTTTCTCCACCGATTCATGTCTTTTGATTCATGTTACTATGTGCAGATATTCTTTCTTATTGTTTTCCTAGGTCTCCACATGGTTGCAATGGTAATTTCGATATTTTTATTAACCCACATCCTCTTGTGATGAACATAAAAATGTCATGTATATGGAGATTCTGTTATGCCCTTCCAGAGACATGCCCACCTTTCCAGAATGAACATCTTGGGTTTTGAACACCACAACAACAAAGCCGAGGTCACAACCGAGCCCTGTGTAAGCCAGTTGTCTTAGCTTTGCTCCATATAGGCAAATTGAACTCCAAAACCTGGCCTATGTGTTCCAAAATGGATTCCTTATGTCAAAAGTTACCCTAGTCAAGGGAAAAATGGAGAGGGGTAATTTAACCGCCTTTAATAGAGGACTCAAACTGCATTTTGCTATTGTACATGCATATGATTATTTCTAAAATGTTCCAAAATAGAAAAGCAAATTCATTTGAGGAATGTGTACATATCATTCCATAGGTCAACATACCTATTTATTCAATAAGCTTATTTAAATACCTTCTCTTTGTCAAGTTCTGTGTTAATGCTTAGATTATATGATATTTAAGACACAGCATGAGCTTTCGATGAAGTCATTATAAAAACACAAAGAAGAGGGAGAGATGCATAGAAAAAAGAATTGGCTCTCCCTGAGCAGATCAGGAAAACACTGCTGGAGACAGGGAGGCCTAAGCTGCAATTTAGAGATGAGTATGAGTTTGCCAGGCAGATAAAGTAGAGATAGGCAGGCAGATGGGAACTATGTGAGCCCAGGTGTGGAGGCTTGAAGTGCAGGGTAGGTGTAAAGAATAGAGAGCGGCTAGCTACTACTGGAGTGCATGTCCTGCAGAAGTTTGTGTCAGGAAACGGCAGTGATGACTCTGGGTGATACAGGTTTGGTAATGGTTTCATCTACACCAACAGTCCCCAACCTTTTTGGAACCAGAAACTGGTTTCATGGTAGACAATTTTTCCATGGACATGTGTTGGGGGGATGGTTTGGGGATGATTCAAGAGCATTATATTCAAGCTCACCTCCTGCTGTACAGTCCTGTTCCTAACAAGCCAGGACCAGTACCTGTCTGTGTCCTGGAAGTTGGGGGTCCCCAATTTACACTCAAATATTTACTGAGCTCTTACTAAACACATGGATTTAGACCAGAAGCTAGAAGTTTAGGGTAAGAGGGGCGATAAGACATGATTCTGCAGAACTACCTTATAAAGTAAGATACTTTCCATGAGGGAGGACAACAGTAGAAGAGTATTTCATTCATTGGTGTTTATCTAAAACAATGGATTGAGCACTAAATGAGCACCCACCAACATAAATGATAACAAGATGTATTTCTTGCACTGACTGAGCTGGCAGTCTAGTGGAGTAAACAGACATGTAAACAGAATATTATATTATAATGTATTCAGTAATAAGCATAATAGCCTTTATTAACAGACTACCAAGTTCCAGACACTGATCTAAGTGCTTTATATTGATTAGCTTTGTCCATCCTCACACAATAAGTAGATATGATTACTGTCTGCATTTCACAAAAGGCAAAGTCAGGGCCAGAGAAGTTACTAATTTGCTTGGTCAAGGTCACTCAGCCAAGGATAAAACCCAGGCTAAGAATAAGAATTGACTTCTTGTTCTTAACCATCACTCCAGAGAACTATAGAAGTGTGGAAGAGAAACATATAAGCCAGCCTAGAGGTGATGGGGGAATACTAATCCTCCCACTTCACTGGTATTTAGGTCCTCTCTGAGTTCTCCAGAGATTTCTCTCCAGTAGAGTCGTAGGAAGCTACCAAACCCATTATACTTAACAGATTGTGTAAGATCTAGAGTTAAAGCTCAAAAGACTAAATTTTTCCCCCAAAGTTCACCTAGGCTACATTTCTCATTCAAATTACTGTAAATTTTCCAATCCCCTCTATCCCCATAAATATCAAATCTCATTGTATGTTTCTAGGGTCTTTATCAAGAAAAGTATGAAGTATACAAGAAAGCTTCTAATATTTTTTTAAGAGGACTTTTTTATTGTGGGTTCCCAGCATTTTATGTTACATAATACCTTTTGAATAGCACTTTGAAGACTCCTGGCTGGATTTGTGTACTGGTAATGCATAATGTGTCAGTTCCAAAGTCCTGTATCCAAGACAATGAAACTAGAATTATATTTCCCACTCAAATTACTGTAACTTTTTCAGCTCCTACCTAATTAAACCACCATGGATGTTAGGTTGGCAAATAACAAAAAGGAGAGAGTTGTAAGAAGTTGAATTGAAATTCTAATGATCTTATAAAAACAATACTACAGGAGTGTAGAAAGCCAAAAGATGACCTTAATCTTGGAGAAGGAAATCCAGGATGAGGCAATTTGTGTCAGTCAGGATAACACTTGTCTGCATGTAACAGAACCCAGCTAGAAAAACCTAAGCAAATAAAGGGCATTTCTCTAGTACATAATCAGAGCCCAGGCCAGAGCAGATGTCAGCCACCTCCCAAGCTTCTTCTGTTTTCCTGTTCTGCTGTTATTTTTGCAAGATTATTAGCATACTTTCAGGTGTCAAGCTATATTCAAGACAATAAGAAGGTCAAGGTGCAACAGGTAAAAGGAAAAGTTACCTTTTCCACTTTGAAACTGTTTCCCAGAATGCACACCCTGCAATTTCTAATTAAATCTCATTGGCCATATTTGGTCACAGGATCTCTGCTAGCTGCAAGGGAGTCAGAGCAAATCACTGTATTATCTCAGCACATGCCACTCATCCCAAGTAAATGAAGAGCATGCACATTGGTTTGGAAGCTAGCAGTATATGCAAAATTAACCTAAAGTTTCTTAATTACAAAAAGAGAGGAAGACAGAGATGAGCAAGAAAGGGCAGTCAAAACAGATTTTAAAGCCCCAGGAAATACAGCTAATTGAATAAAGCCAAGGCAATTTTATAAGTATTTTCTTTTTAAGTTACTCAGATAATCCATGGCTCTAAATCTAATGGAGCAAGTAGGGATTAGAAAGTCTTGGAGAGGGCAAAATGAGAGCAAAACATTCCCAGCTAAAATGTTGAAGTAAGAAACCTTTTGTGATGGTTATTACAATCCATTCCTTATTTCTGGACAATAAATTACAAAGTAAGAAATATCAGGGGCCAGATTATAGAAGGTTTGTGTATGTGTTTTAAAAAGATATTTTTCTGGTACAGAATGAAAAGCCTCTGAAGGGCCTGAGGCCAGGAGGGGCTAAGTCAGACTTGTATTTTGAATAACTCCTACTTAGTGACTAGGTTTAGAATGGAATCAAGAAGATAAAGCTAAAGATGAAGAAATAAGTTAAGAGGCAACTGTATTAATGCAGATTGAATATGCCAAGGGCTTGAACTAGTGAGGATGAAGAGCAGTGCACAAATATGAGAAAGTAATTATTTGAGCAATCAGAGGAGACTTATTGGGGGAAGCAGCCTTTTATTACTAAAAATTAGCTTTCTTTTATGCCTACAGTATCTATCTGCAAAGTCTGAGGCAGCCCTATTTCATATATTTTGGGGGAGTTTATGAGACATAGGCTATATTCATTAGTAGAAATTCCTAAGCAATTTATTCTGCTATTCATAAGTAAAATGATCCAGAAATGCTTTTGACAAAAGGCTTAAAATTTGAAATAATGCTTAAAATCTAAAGGTAGGAAAACTCTACGTCAAGGTACTTGTATCCTCAAAATCAGTTGCTCTCTAACTCTGGTGAATATCTAGGGAGCTGGGAAAACTACGGATTCAGAGGCCCAGCTTCAGACCACCCTGATCAGAATCTTGAGGGATTCTGATTATAATAAATTCGACAGGTGTTCTAATATGTACCAGGCTTTGGTCAACTGCATGATAGGCCTGGCAGGACATAACCAGGACCCTGGCACCAGATATTTTAAGAAGAAAGGGGGCATGAGGTCCAAGAATATACTATTTAGAGGCAAGAGATGAAAGCATAGGCAGAAAGGCCAACACTTTTGCAGAGGGTCAGAAGTGTAGAGCTTGGCTACAAAGCCTGGAGGACTCAAGCAGCAGGCAGGTGGGAAAGTGGGAGCAGCAGCGCAATAGCTGTGCTGGAGAGATTAATGGGGCTCCAGGTATGGCTGCTGTGTGGGGAGGGAGTAATAGACCAAATCCCAATATCCAAAGTATAACAGGCCCAGACTCAACTTCCAAGGCTACTCTATAGCTATGCTTCTGTTGGTAAATTGAGATGAAATTGCTCTGGATATAAAGTACCCTATATACTAAACTATTTATCGATTAAAAAAGAGAATGTAGAGATTACATTGGTCAATAGTAGAAAGAATTTCATCTCTCATCCCTCAGAATAGACCAAAGGAATATCTGAACAGTTTTGATGAGGAAGCTGTGACAATCCCTACAATTCGATGCTAACCAGCAAGTTCCCAGGAGACAGAGCCCTTACCGCTTTGCTCCTTGGAGATCTCTGAGCATATGTCAGTGGCCCACTGTGTCTGAAATGTCAACCATTTATTTTGTGACTATCCAGCAGAGAGGAGGTTTCATGAAATGGAGTAGAGAAAAGGAGAAGGCAAATAGGCCTGTTTGCTAAGCTTTACCAACCACAATTCTCATTTTTCTCTGGGAAAAATAAAAGTAGTGACTTTAAACAACCAGCCTTGGATCTCTAGAGATGCTGGCAGCCATACCGCACATCCTGCTTCCTTCTGGGTCCCTGTGAATAATTTACAAGACTTTTGTGTGTGAGGGCTTTCTCCTAGTGTCCTGAATCAGAACATGTTGGTATGTTTGTGCTGACATTTTTGAGAGAGCTGTTCTGTATTGCATTAGTCAGAACCATAAATGGTCAATGAGGCTCAAAAAAGGTGTGGAGGTTGTGCGTCATCCTGGCCCGCCTATGCCTGGAGCCTGGGGTAGCCTCCAAATCCTTCCTACAGACACAGGTATTAATTCAGCTTGTAACAGTCACTCCCAGATGCGCAGAGGTGGTCTGAATGATGACCTGCTGTGTGCCGGCTCTAAGCTCTCTCCTTCTGCCTTTTGAGCACAGGTTCTACGAGCACAGACGGAGTTCTGTGGTGCTAAACTTGCCTGGACTTGAGGTGTTCCCCGGGGACCTTCTGGTGTCCGATGGAGCTGCTCATTACCTGTGCCACCCACTTCTGCTGCTGAATTCAGGTACCGTCATTCAGCATACTTATATTACTTGGCTGCTATGGGAAGGATATTGCAACAAGCAGGGGGCATTTTAAAACTATTTAATGACCAGTGCAACATGTGCAATGACAAGTTAAAACAAATCTCTCACCAAATTAGGACAGGCATCAGCCATGAACGACCAGTTGAGTACCACTCTGGTATTGGCTGTTCCACTTACAGAGATGGATCAGGTATGTGCCTTCTCTGAAAAGGTCCTCTTTGTCAAATAATGTGTCCCAGGTCCAGGAGCTGAAAAAGGTACACCAGTGACAGTCACCATCAGGGAGCTTAATGTTTTCTCTGGGCTGGTGAGCAGCTTCCCTGTCATTGCTGTCCTAGCGCACCCCCACCCCAGCCCTGGCTCTCAGCCCCACCCCAGTACCTTCCATCTAGCGCGGTGCCCTGGGGAGACAGAGGTCCTGGTGACAGCAGATTGCTGTGAGAGGAGATTAGAGAAAATCAGCCTTAAGAGCAAACCTCCTGCATTTTGAATTTAGTTGGGAAAGAAAAGAGCAGGCCCCCATGATTCTGAGGGTAGCCTTTGAGAGTTAAAAGGAGACTTAAGAAACATCCATGATTATCCATCTTGGTAGTTGTTAAACTGGTTTTGTTCTTAACAGAGCCCTCTTGGCATAAGAACGCTCATTTGGAAATCCAGCATATAAAACAGATCCAGGCAGATTTGCAATGTTTGAAAGTGGGGTGGGTTCCAAAGCCTTACCTCCAAGGCACCCCCAGGAACCCACGACATTGGGAAATTCAGTTGGAAAACCACCCAACTCATTCCTCATTCACATGTGTGCAAAGTAAGACCCAGAAAGGAGAAGCGACCCAGATGTGGTGTCAGCTGGTCTGTGTCAGAGGCATGGAATCTAGGTTCCTGCCTGCCTGTCCTGCACACTCTCTACCAGCCTGCAGCAACCAGCCATGATAGGGAACCCAGAAGCCAGAAGCCACCAGTAAATACATCATACCTAACATTTGTGTAGTTCTTCACTCTTTATATATCCCTTTCTCATCTACTGTCTTATATGAAACAATCATCCTCATGAACATCTACTTTCTCATATGACACAGTCATTCAAATGAACAAACCAAGGACTAAGTGATCTACTCAAGGACCAGACCCTAGAAATTAGAGCAAGCTCTGAACACAGCATAAGTTTAATAGAAATTAGTACTTGTTCTATCATACTTTGCAAATGCTTTAACTGGTTAGCAACTGAAGCAGTGCTTCCCAAAAGCAGGTCCCAGACCAGCAGCTTCAGCATTACCCTGGGAAATTATCAGAAACATGGATTCCGGGGCCTTGCTCCAGACTTTCTGAATGAGAAATTCTGGGGTAGGGCCCAGGAATCTGTTTTATAATAAGCCCTGCAGGTGATTCGGATGCCAGCTGAAGTTTGAAAACCACCCTGCTAGGATATAGGACATAACTTTTACATGATGATTCTAAATCAACTCATTGTTCTTGGTGATGTGCTTAGCACCACAGCAGACATCACATAGTAAAAGTTATGTAACATTCTCCACCAAACCCTCCCTGTCTTCTTCTCAGGGAGTTCAGGATAGAGCTCTCCTATCCCCAGATCATGGTCTAATCTAATGCAGTGTTGCTTACGCTTTGGCGTGCATGTGAGTAATCCACACGTAGTGTTGAATTAGAGATTCTGAGCTGGCAAAATTGAATATTTAACACAGATATTACAAGATTGCGGATGCAATAAAGACCCATTTCAATCTTGTTCTGAATATTTTTGAAGCTTTCCCAAGTACCTAAAATTGCCCCCAGAGTAAGAAAAGCAGAGGAAAGAAATTTGTTAAGACTAGAGACCCCAATTATTGTAGTTCAGATTGGACCACCAGGCACTTGAGGGCTAAGAGCGGTGAGGCCTATTTGTCCCTAAAGCAGATTCCACCCAACCTCCCCTTTTAAAACATTAATAAGGTGGTCAGAGTGAGCAAGATAATCAGTAGAACAGGTGCCTTTCAAGGTCCCCATAGGAAAAGTTCTCGAGCACACCCTTTGCAGTAAATGCTGCTCTGTAAATGCCTCCATCTGATTAAAGTATTGTGCAGAGACCCTTGATGAAGCAAAGGTATAGACCTAGAAGTCATCTCTTTTCTATACCGAGTCAGCAGAGCACTTCACCTAAACCTAAGAGACAATTCCCAGCATTTTCTGGGTAATATTACAAATTGATGCCATGACATAAAAATCAAGAGACCAGAATCTCCTCTCTTTGCTTCCTGATCATCAAAAAGAATGTGCTGTTGAACAGTGACTTCCTTCTCAACTCAAAGCAACTCCTAAGGACCGCTTAGGTGGTGGCTAATAGCAGCAATAAGCCTCCGTCATAAAGATTGATGAAGTGCTGATGTTTCCCTAGTTTGGGAGGCTGTGTTTAACCACACCTGAGGATTCTCTGGTTGATGCAGTCCCAAGTTTCAAGTTTGATGAGGTCATGGAAGTGGTACATGCTGAGAGAATTTCTAGTGAAACAGGTTAAAAATGAAGTTCTTTCAGCCCCAAAGTCCTCTGACTCCCTCTTAAACAAATTATTCAACATCTTTATTACATTTTGTAGGTTTTTTTCCCTGAATGATAAAGGAAAAGAACATTATTACCTTGAGGTAGCAAAGGAATACTAACTTTCAGGCTGCAACATTGCTTCTTTCGCTCACCTGAATAAATATAAATATCCATTCTGTGCATTCTCCAGAAATGGAGAGTTAAAACAGTGTGAATTCTGTTTGGCTCATTTGAAAAAGCAGGTTTTCTAAAGGACTGCAATGCTGTCACCAGTCACTCAGAGTCCTAATATATTTTCTTTAATTTCACCCACCAGAATCCAAAAAGCCAAGATGGCCTTTCTCCAGGAGAGGAGTGGTGAGTGCTGTGCATTGTCATTTTTGTTTTAATTAAGCCTCTTGTAGATAAGAACGTAAGAAATGGCTGAAGAGCCCCTTTATCTTTGCATGATGGCAGATGGCACGTGAAGTTTAAATTATATCATCAAATTCATAGTAATGGCTGCAGACCATGCCAAATGAGGCCATTTTGTGCAGCACAAGAGTGCTAATTGCCAGCGGTTAACGAGCTCTGCAAAAAACAAAGCAATCGTAATATTGTGATGCTTTACAAGTCTAAATTTATAACTCGATGCAGCTTCAGAAATAGCTTACTCGATAAAGTCAACCTGCACAAGTGTATGCCCCAGTTTGCAGTCAGTCCTGTGCATATTGGGAACATTGAAAAATTGATGAGCTATTACAGAAACACATTCTACAAATACACTTCTATTTCTGGGAAAACCAGTTGGATTAGTCTGTGTGTGTGTGTGTAATTCATTCTTGGTACCATCAGTTATGAACATCCCAAATCGACATCAGTGGTCCCTGATTCTTCTCTGTCTCGACAAGGAGCGGCCAGGGGGCAGACGTCCCTTCAGGCACACTGGGGCTGGAGGGCCGGAGCATTCCTGCCCACAACCTGACTCCTCACTCCTCTTTTTGCAGGAAGGGGAAGGACTGACTGTGTTGTCCCAACAATACCGGTTGCAATACCAGTTTTAAGTAGTATAGCTAAATTAAAAGCTCACTGAAGTTCCGACCCCAGCTGCTCCACTTACTATTCTGTGACCTTGACCAATGAATCAACCTCCCTCAGCTTCAGGTCCTTCCCTGTAAAAGCTGGATGGTGATAGGACCAACGTCTAGGGTGGCTGTGATGAGTAAATTAAATAATGCATATGGAGCTTACCCCAGAGCTACCACACCGCAAACAACCAATCAATATTGGTCATATCATTGATAGTTTTATTTGTAATTAGAGTTTGGAAAACTATTTTCATAAAAAAGTATATGAGTGACTTTCACATTATTTTTCCAAGCATAAAAAATTTGTATGAATGTCTTAGTCAGCTCAGGCTGCTATAGCAAAATACCACAGACTGGGGGGCTTAAACAACCAATAATTACTTCTCACAGTTCTGGAGGCTAGGAAGCCCAAGATCTGGGGGTCAGCATGTCCAGGAGTTCTGGTGAGGGCTCTCTTCCTAGCAGGTAGATGGTTACCTTCTCTCTGCGTCCTCATAAAACAGAGACAGAGCTCTGCTGTCTCCTCCTCTTCACTTACCTCATAAATGGGATTAGTGTACTTCTAAGCCCTCATGACCTCATCTAAACCTATTTACTTCTCAAGGACCTGTCTCCAAATACCATCACACTGAGGGGTTAGGGCTTTAACATATGAATTGAGGGTGAGGATGGCAGAAACATTGAGCCATAAAGACAGTCTAACATTACAAACCTCAAGTCTAACATCACAAGCTTCAACGTAAAATGTTAACCCATGGTCACTAAGGCTGTTTCTCATCATTCATGTTCATTTGCGCCTTTTTAGGGACCTGATTTCATTGGTTTCCTGGCAGGTATGAGGCCTGTGGTGCAAGCTTTTCTGGGCTTGTCAATGGAGGCAGGGCCAGTTACTGTCAGGCCTGAATCTCAGGAGAAGGAGAATCTCCCACCAGCTCTCCTGGGGGATCCTCTGGAGCAGGAAGTTTCTAGGGCTGCTGGGGAGGTAGAATATGCTTCCAGAAGCAGGGACTTACCTGAGGAAGGGATGCTCTTGCAAGTTGTTGTCATCAATGTATTTTTTCCCCATAAAGAAACAATTTGTTCCACTTGTCGAATGACTATATGTGCCGACACTAGGCTAGATATCTAAGATGTCAAGATGCCCATTTTCAGCTCAAAATCGAGGTCAAACTGACATGTAAATTAGGGGGAAAGTTGTGGTAAATGGCTTGCACAATGTTGGAGGTAGGTAGGCGGTGGTGGAGATACACAAAGACAGAGTAATTAGTGGGATGATAAAATGTTTTAGCAAATGTCCTCAGTAATGAAGGGAAACTCATATCTTGAAGGTTCCTTTTTATAAGGACATAGTATCTGGTCTCCTTCAAATGAGTATCTACTTGCTCTTTCATCCTTTTTACCTTATGTATCATGTAATCCATATCTATATAAATAATAATCCACATAAATAAAACAAACACACTGCTATATTATAATGTATTTTTCCCAATCTATTACATGGTTTTTCCTTTTTTAACCTGTTTTCTCTCTTTTCTAATAAATATTAGTAATAAAAGCAAACAGACGTTTACCATGCAATCAGGTGCTGTTTCTGTTTACATGTGTTCCTATTCATGTATGTTGTAGTTCACATATGTTAACTCATAATTCTCAGAACAATCCTACAAGTAGGTAATATTACTATCCCTATCTTGCAATGGACAAACTGAGGTTCAGAGAGGTTGAATAGCTTGCCTGTGTTCACATTGCTTATCAGCAGCAGAGTCAGGATTGGTGCCCAGGAGTCCCTCTGGCTCTGAGTTTTTTTTAGTCCCAACATTGAATCATTCCGCCAAATGTGGGGCTGGACAGTCCTGCCTCCTTTATCTCATCAGATCATACAAAGATCTTGTCTGTTCTCACAGACTCAATGCCATCTCTTTATCAACCACTCTAAACTGTATATGTTCACATTCACATATGTTCATTTTGCTCCAGTTCCATATCACTAGCGCCTACTATAAACTTCCATTCCACCCACCTCTTAGTTACTAACTTTGAGACACCAGAAGGTAACTTGGTTCCTATTCTCCTTCATGCTCCTTATCCTCTCAAATAGCCTTCAAATTCTTTTCATTGCCTCTCCTTGCCAATGTCTCCACATTGGAAGCAAGCAGGCTTCTGGTCTGTTACTGTCTAAGGGGTTAATGTGGTCTCTGAGAGGACTGTCTGCTCCCTTCCCACGGGTCTACCCACCAAGTACTTTGGTCAAGAGGTCGGGCAGACCCACAGAAAGCCGCAGTGAGCGCCCTTCGGTGCAGGCCGGCGCCCGCTTTCCCACAGCTCTAATGCTGCTCCCATTGTCTCAGTGTCTTCATTTCCCAACAGGCTGCTGATTTTTATTTCCACAACATGCAGTCACTATGGTTTCAGACATCAACAAAAGGCATATGTCCCAATTGCTGTAGGTGGTCCCCAACCCCCTCCAAGATTTCTTTGTTACTGTGGAGCTAATGAGTCTCTAATAGGTTTTGTCTTTCAATGCCATAATGCTACCAGAGAAACCAGCCACAGCCCTTCAGCACATTCTGAACGGATTACAGGGGCGCGCAGGGAGGAACCTGCAGCAGATAACCCGCTGTGTCCTCTTGCTCGTTAACATAAAGTTGAATAGCTCCCACCAAACATCTTAGATCCATCTAAGCCAAACATCATGAGCCTGAGGCAGTAGAGCAAATTTAAAAAATTATTTGCAATAAATATTCATTTGAAATGCAGCCAAGTTTACTTTAGGAGGCCTTACACTTTATTTGATAACTTCTTCCTTGTATAGGTGGCAAAATGAACTTTTTAAGGGGATAATTTACAATGTTGCAACAGTGTACTGAACCAGTCAAAAAGAAGTCACAATATGTTAAATTAGAAAGCAAGTTACCAAAGGATGTGCAAATATGACACCATTAAAAATTATAAATACAATTGGAAAAACGTTTTCAGTGGTTATCTGGGAATAAAGATTATAGGTAACTTTGATTTTCTTTGTTTCTCAAATTTTCTGCAATAACCCTATATTACCTTTGCAATCCGATTTTTAAAACTAATACTATTGAAAGTAAAAATGATAACAAAAATAAGTGTGTGGTTTCATTCCAAGGAAGCTAGTTTGTAGCACCTTCTAGTATTCTTTAGCAGTGAATTGTCATGTTAGCCAGTCCCTTCAACACTGGGCTTTCCCTGGTCACTTGCCCACCAAGGGGTGGAACTAAGGTATCATAGGTACCTTCTGGTGTTCGAAGTCCTGTAATCCTGTGTTTGGCAAAGTTAGAACTGTGAAGGACATACTATCACCCCACAGGGTGGGAGCAATACATGGAGTCCCACCTATTTACTATATAACTGTTCCAAGCCTTGGATTATTTTTTTTTTCCTTAGTAAAATAAGAGCTTGGTCAGACATCCTCACTAGCCCCTGTCCTCCAGATTTGACCTTCTGTGGTCTTGTGGGTCAGACTACTGCTGGGAAATAGCTTTTCAACTGCCCGTGGCTTCTAGACAAAATGTGCCGTCTGTTCTGCATGTTGGAGAATGAAAGCAGGAAGATGCTGAGGCTACCAAAGTCCTGTGGTGGAAGAATTCCTGTTTGAAAGTTCTGTTTCTCCCCATCTTTAAGCAGGGCAAGGACAGACACAAGCACATATCTGATCTGGAAAACTTCCTCTCCTCTGTGAAGATTACAGACTTCAGGACCTATGAGTTCCACAGCTTTAAGGTATCTCACAAATTTCTTACTAAGTGAGATAGCTTTTTTTTCCCCTGGTTTAGTCATTATTTTATTGCCTTTGTTCATATAACAGCCAAGAGCAGGAGAGGAGCACAGAGCGGGGCGGAATCAGGACTGCTCCCTTATGCACAGCGAAACCTCGGGAAAGTCATGTCATCTTAGCGAAAATAATGGATACCAGAGGCCCTGTGCAAATGTTAACTGTGGCCACTCCTACTCACCTCAGGGCCTCAATTTCCTCATTTGAAAAATAGCTGGCTTTCGATAAGACCGTTTCCAAAATTCTCTGTAGATTTTAAAACTCTCATTTCATGTAATTAATTTCAAAAATATTTAGCAGGGAAGCCTGGATCCGACTTCCCAGTTCTGGGTCTGCGGTTCTTTTAGGGGTTTTTTTGCAATAAACTGAAAAAGGCTCATGAAATTCTCAAGCATAATGCAGAACAACATCAATTTAAATTCTTTTTTGTTTAAACTAAAAATAGTGCATGCCTTGCATCCCAAAGTCACATAGAACTGTGGTTTGGGAGGCTGGAGAAGCCTCTACCAAGAGGGACGTGAGGCCTGAGTAGGAAACCACAATTTCAGGAACATTTGCTTGTTCTTGCCATATTCAGGGCAAGTGGGAGTGAATGGTGAACAAGCCAACCCATTGAGGTGGAAATGTTTTGTTCTTTTCTCCTCCCATGAGCAGAGTAAGACATGGAGTGAAGTCATTGAAACACATCAAAAACTTCCTACCGATCAGTTGGACTTGAGGAAGCAGCAAGAGGCTGTGTGGGAACTTTTCACAAGTGAATGCACTTATTTCTTGGACCATTTATTAGTTCTTAAGATGGTAAGGCTGGGCTTAATTTTTACAGTAAATGGAAAGTATTAAATTGATTTGGAGGCATTCATTTTCCTCTTCCACACTGAAAAAAGTTGGGGTGGTGGGGGCCTGCTTCTTTCGGAGATCTTAAGAAAATTTTACCTATTGTTTACCTACAACTTGGTTCTCTCTTCATTCTTTTCTTAAACATAGCCTCTCAGGACTGAGGAGATCTGACTGCCCAGTTCTCCATCTGATGTCCGAGTCTCCCCTGCCTATTCTCACTCTGTGTTCACACACTCCTGGCGTCAGGGAGCTCACAGCCGCACTCCAGGCACCCATTCCAGCGCTGGTCAGCTTCCACTTTGTGAGCTCTTGCTCCCCATTGAGCAGTGCCAGGAGAATGCTTTCCGTCAGCTGCAGGGCCGCAGCCGCAGGTTCCCAGGCAGCCATCCGCATGTATTGCGGTGGGGTTGGATGACATGGTATATTCATGATGTCTGCCAAGTCAACGCTGTCCCAGGTTGTGCAGTGCTGCAACCCTGACCTGGTGAGGCTCCGAGCGGAGGATTCCTTATAGAACCACAAGGCAAAGGAGGGCAAGGGAGCGATTGCCTTCCAACACCGCAGGGGAGGAAGAGCCCTATCGCTCCTAAGCTTGCCTCTGCCTAAGCACTTTTGAATCCTGCCTACTCTCTGACACAGGAAAAAGTGTTGTGTTAAAAAAAGCACATAGGGAGACCTAAGTTCAAGTCCTGGATCCACTTCTGACTTGCCATGTGACTTTAGAAGAGTCTAGTCCTCCATTTCCTAAACCAAGTGTTGGCAAACATGTTCTATAGAGGTCCAGATAGTAAATACAAGATGGGGCAAAAATACAACTTTTTTACAGTTGTTTGTATGGAAAATAATACAATATTCAATAAATAATAATATATGAATAAATTCTGTGTTTCACGTACTCAAAACTGTAAACCTACCTTTGCCCCAATCTGTATTTTGGGCTTTTCAGGCCATGTGGTCTTTATAACAACTATTCAGCTCTTCTCTTGCAAAACAAAAGAAGTCCTGGGTGATTTATAAAGGAATGTGCATAGCTGTGTTACAATAAAACATTATTTACAAGAAAGGGTAGCAGCCTTTATTTATCACACGGGCTATCATTTGGTGATCCCTGTCCTAAGCTATGAAAGAAGGATGGCAATACCATTTCAGACTGTCTCATAACCTCTGAGTACTATGATCATTAGATTAGTCTTCTCTGAAATCTATCAAATGACATACAAATGTCAGTTATTATTTTCTGTAAGTAATGTTTGTTGTCAGTCACAGCACTGAGTACTTTACCAACAAAATCTAAACCTCAAAGACACTCAAAATGAAAACTTAAGGAGTGTATCATTAGAATATGGAGAACTAGCTTAAGTAATCCAGGATTTTATTGGCCCATATAAAGTCCAGAGTTGGAAAAGATTTCAAGGTTGGTTTGATCAGGGAGCTTAAAACCAAAGACAGATTTTTTCCATCTGTCATTTCTGCCCTCCAAGGCATCAGCCTCATGGCTGGTTTCTGATGTAGTCACAGAATAGCTGTTTTCCTTAAGCCCATGGAAGAAAAGACAGAAAAAAGAGAAAGAGACAGGATCTCCTTTCCACATTCATTGCAAAGGCTTGAATTTCATTCTCATTGGACTACTCTGAAAAGGTGATCGAGGCCCACCCCTGGGAGTAAGGTCTGCTTGCCACATGGCACATCAAGGCCTGCGGGAGAGCACATATTGAGACGAAAACCAGGATGAGGTCAGCGAAGAGGAGCATTGAACTGGGTCTCAACCAACAGCTGTTCACTGCAGGGCAGAGCCCCCTGAGCCCTACTTCCCTGGCTCTCATAAATAGCACAGAACTTTCTGTCGCGCTGTTACCTGCACAAGCTTTTCAAACTTTTCTGTTTAAAAAACTTTTTTTGAATTTATTTATCTGCCAGTGTCTTAGTATGTTTAAAATATACATAGTTTTCCCTTTATACAAGCAATATTAGTTTCCCAAAGCTCTTGTAAATTAGAATTTGCAATTAGTAAATTCATGTAGTAAAATGAATATACTGGAGCACTTGATATATTTTTTTTAGTGGCAAAATTTTCAGTAGAGCAGAGCATCTTATAGAAAAAGATTGTTTTTCTAAGTCTTCCAAATATATCCGTAGTAATGAGTACTGTTTCTTACAGTTACATGTTTTCAATACTTGGGTACTGACAGATTTCCAGACAACCAATACAATATGGATTTGAGGAAGGTCTTAGTTAGTGGTTCCCAAAGTGGGCTCCCTAGACCAACAGCATCAGAACCACCTGGAAACTTGTTAGAAATGCAGATTCCCAGGCTCCATCAAAGACCTGCTGAATCAGAAACTCTGGAAGAGGAGCCTAATCTCTGGTTTAGCAAGGCCTCTAGGTGATCCTGAGGCAGGTTCAAGAACCATTCGCTGCATAAATCAAGGGATATGGAAATGGAATTGGAGAACTTTGGCATCTAAAGTCTACTCTTTTTTTACACCTAAAAATTCTGGAGATAATTGTTCCCTTTGAATGCTTCATCATATGTATTCAAAGCATTCCTATTTCAATAAATTGATCTTTCTTTAGTTTATAGGATCAGAGCAAGGTTATCTGCAAGGATTGTAGTTCTTTCTTGCTATAGAGCAATCTCCCTCTGTATGAAAGCATCAAATCAATTAACAATAGCATAAAACTTCCCTTAATGTTTTCATTAATATTTAATGCCTTTGTCCAAATCTAAATATCTTACAAGTTATCAAATATTAACCCGTTAGTTTTCTATTTTTAATTTCCTGAAAGTAAAAGACACTTGGATCTTTTGCAGAGAAATGTACAAGTGAGAACGCAGCGTGAATGTTGTTTGAGTCTCAGTGCTGTTGGCAATAAGAGAGCCTGTGGGATTTCTTTGACTCCAGGGGGCAGAGCAAGCCCATTTGAACAGATTATGTTCAACAGGAACGTTGTTAGAGTGCATATTAGCAACAACGACATCATACAGAAGAGCGCATTTCCCATGTGTTCTGTGGAGCTTAAATGTCATCATTCGTATTTCAGAAAATTCTTAAACTTTGAAAATAATGATTTCTAAACTGTTTTGTGAAGTTGTACTCAGAAGGTTTATGTTTAATATTCTGGAAAAGGGCAAGTTTCAAAACTGAAAATCAGAAAGTAACGTGCATTTATTTTTTTTTAAAGATCTTCATGAACACACTAAAGTATCTACAAACTTATGAATATCTCCTGGATGTGGATTTATGGAGACTTTTTGCAAACCTGGAGGAGTTAAGTCAGGTGAGCCAAAGTAGAAGATGTCAGAAGACATGTTTTAAAATTTGCCAGAGGAGTCATGAAAATGTATGTTTGTTACATTCCTGTGGCTTGTATTCCACTCTGGAATATGGAATATGGTTTGTTCCCTCACATAACCTTATAGACAAGATGTCAGGTTAATAAGAAGCAAACCTAAACATTTATTGACATCTTGCCAATAGATCATAGATATCAGCCTTCAGTAGCATTGTTCTTCTTCTCTTGGCTCTTTAAGAAAGTAAACATATTCCTAAGACCTCCTTAACCTTCATAAATATTTATTCTCAAATGAATGTCCTTTTCTCACATATTATAAATAAATATCTTTCCTGCAAAAAGGAAGAGAGGTTCTAAAAAGAATTTATTTATAAAAGAAAACATGTAAGAGTATAATAAGATATACATTTAAATGGAAAATAAATCCGAATTTTGCCAGGAGCTAAATTTGAAATGTAAAAACACCTGTAGGATATTTGACGTTCATCGGCTATTCATTCCTTCCCTCTGGGTGGGTGTCTACTCTCATTATCTTTCTCTCTGCCCATAGACAAGCTTTGGATTTGTGAGCAGCCTTTTTGCCATCATCAAAGACTACTTTGAAGCTTCTGAGACTTCACCGTCCATGGATTTCATTCCCGTGCTCACAAAGGTAAAATCCTTCCAGGAGATTTCAGCTTCTTGCAATAAATTCACCTTCTCCCAGGATAATTGTTAACACCTACTTGACTTTTTGTTTTGTTGTATGTCGTGGGAAAGTTCCACCTCACCCTCCCACAAGAGAACCATCCTTTTCTCTGACAATCAAAGCTTTCAAAAATAACTTGCAGATTCTGTTTTCCCATTGTCACCTCCGCTGTGTGGGTTTTATTAACACAGAAATTGCACACATGGGAAAGCCATTTCCAGGTCTGTTTTTTAAATGACTTCAATTTAAAGCAATATTCATGGCAATAGTTTGTGTAGGCTAATTACATAGTTCAGTTGTTCTTCTAACAAAAGCGCCAGCCTTTCAGACAAAAATAATAATAATAATAATAATAATAATAATAAACCTTCAAATCCATCAGCACCTTAAACAGGACTTCCACAAATAAAAGTAGAAACAAGGAAAACCTGTAGCCCTGGATTAATAAATGTTATTTATTTCTTGAGTAGAGATTTGAGCTTCTCCCTACACTTTTTTACTTTCAGCTTTTAAAACCAGTTTCTATCTATTCTCATTTAGCAAGATTTGACTTCTTACAATCCACTTAAAAAAGCATAGATTGAGATTTATTGAGCACTTACTAAGTGCTTATATGAGGGGCTGATACCCTGTACATGATAATGTGCAAAACCAGACACACTCCTGTTCGTTTTCAGTCTAGCAAGGGAGACATTAATTCACTAATAACAGGGGTAATTATATAACCAAATTGATATCAATACTAAGGAGAAAAAGAACATGGATATTATGAAGGAGAGCTTCGTTGAGGCAGGGGGTAAGGGTGTTCCAGACAGGAAATTCTTCCTAGGGCAAAGATGTTTGAGGGGAGACATGAAGAAGGAAGAGTAGTTTATCATGGCATAAACAAGCAGAAAACTAGGTGTAAAGTAGGGAGATCTTTATGTAAATTTTGAAAACAGATTTGAACAAAGAAATACTTCGAGAAACAAAGGAATGTAAAGTATTGGGAAGTCGTTGAAGTCTTGGGCTCTCAATTTATTTAGAGTCAGAAAATGTTTAAATTAAGTTTTAAGTAAATAGCCTGGAGAAATACTAACTTCTCATTAAAACACATTAAAACACGTAAGTTGTCTTAGTCAGCTCAGGCTCCTATAACAAAATATTATAGACTGGGTGGTTTACAAATAACACATTTATTTTTCACAGTTCTGTAGGGTGGAAGCCTGAGATTAGGTGAGATTCTCACTATGTCCTTCACATGGTGGAAGGGGCCAGAGAGGTCTCTGGAACTTCTTTATAAGGACATTTATGTCATTCACGAGGACTCCAACTTCATGAATGAACCATTCCCTGATGGCCTCAGCGCCTAATGCCATCACTTTGGGGGTTAGGATTCAACATACTAGTTTGAGGGGGACACAAACATTTGCACCATCATGTGAGTGCACCCATAGCCTACTGAAGCCTGGGGTGTTAATAGACTCTTTACTAAAGGTCTGGAACACAGCCCACATATGAATGCTTTACATGACAGGTGTGCGAAGATGGGCTATATGAGTTTTTCCTAAATTGAAAAAAGGTCCTTTACCAGTCAGGTTCGATTTAGTTGTACCAGAGTAACAATCCCCAAACTGCAATAGCTTGGTGACTATCTCCCTATGCTCTTCTTTTATTATATTTTGTCACTGTCCTGTCTCTGGGGCCCATGCTGAGGGAGCAGGCACAACCTGGAACATTACCAGTTGCCATGGCAAAGACATAGGAGACTGGGCAGAGCACTCACTGACTCTTCAAGTTCTGCCTAAAGCAGCGCATGGCACGTCTGTTCACATTTCATGAGCCAAGAAAGTCATATGACCATGCTTACCTTCAACAGATGGAGTCTACATAATACTCCCTGGGAAGGGAAAATAGATGAAGAGTAATATAGCCTCACAAGAAGTTCACGAGATCAAAGAATGGAACATTGTGTTATTCACACATGAGCCATGTGAGCACGTCACTGAAAAGGAAACTGAGCCTTGTGAGGTTAGATCAGCTGGCCAAGGTCATAGAGCTGATTAAGTTGTGGAGCCAGATTTCTAAACCTGACCCATACATGGTCTTCAGAGTTGCCTTCTTACTAATGAAGTGTCTCAAGCATCTCAATGTCCTTTATCTCCAAGCCATCCAAAAATGTCCCCTCACTCCCTCGAAAATAAATTCACATCATCTTTCAAAATACTTCTTTCTGGAGCCAAAACTTGACATTTTTCCCCAGAGGAGAAATTACTTTCTCCCCTGTCCTACAACAAAATATTTTTAGAGGTTTTCATTATTTTTTCTACCATTTCTGTCACCTCCTCAAGTGACTTTTTTCTCTATTAAATGTGGTTATAACATTATCAACAAGTGTGTCTTCCTTCTCTCATTCCACCACCTGATGACACTACTAGAAATCCATTAATGGAACCTATTACTTATTATGTTAATCAATGAATCTATCAAGGATGACATAGGCTAAGCAACCTGATAGACACTGTGAAATCCTGAAGAGAATGCCTGCCAGCAAGGAGACAGAGCTTTGGTGAAGAGAAAAGAATAACTCATTCCCAAGAAAGACATTTAACCGAGATGGCGCACATTGTGCGGTATGCTCAGAGTGACTTGATAGCTATATACATACACTCAGTAGAGGTCCTCAGATTTGACTCTACAGTTTGAGAAGCCCACAGAAGAATTAAGTTTATGGATATTTTTGAGGAAGAGTTGTTTGAAAAGTTAAATGTAGTTACTTTAACCGCTTGCCACCAAACACAGGTTTAACGTCAACCAATATAACCCCTGAAATCAAAGGCAATATTTATTACCCGGTACCATAGGGAGTGGAGGCCTCAACAAGGCATAAATGGATGGGTGAATTCAATCAAGGTGCCCTTTAGAATTTTCTTTAAGTATGATTTTTTTAAAAGGTGATTTATTGAGGAGTTAACTGTTTATAATGGGAACGGCATTTTTTAAAAGAATGCTTATTCTTTTAAAAAAACAGGATTACCTGTTTCCAGCCACACAGCCCTAATTCCTGCTTGATCATGCTGACTCCTCCACTTTTTCCTGTTCTAGTTAGTGATGAAAGTGAAGAGAAAGATGTTTGTCTGCACTCTCCTTCTGCTCTCTTCTCCTCTTGCAGTATTTCCGAGGGAGCCTCTGTCAGAGCCACCAGACCTACTGCCTGAATTACTCAGCCGCTGTCTTTTATCTGGAGAGCCTGAAGCAGAGGGATGACTTTGGAATTTATTTAAAAGTAAAGTAATATTTTTGTTTATATTTTTCCTGAGACTCTTTGGGGTATAACAGGTACTAGGAATTATTATACTCAAATTAAGTGGGAAAGAAGAAAAATAAAATACCAGCAATACATTTTAATCACAAATCTGATTTCCTCATAAATACGTCTTCCACTGCACACTGTAGAATTTTAAATAGTTCACATCTGGAAACATTCTGTCATCTAATGTCCCTCCTGAAATTCTGGCTGAGGCTTTAAAATGTTTCATTTGTTCATTGGTGTGTTTGTAGATGAAATTGGTGTGTTGTAAGGAGAAAGCTAGACTAAGAACTGAGGCTTGGATTGTGACTAGATGTTTGGCTCTTGTAGAATTTGGTCCCAGCAAGAATCTATTGCACACAAACTTGAGGAACCATTTACATTGTACTCTATGCGAATGGCGCCCCCTGGAGTACGTCATAGAGCTCAATGTAAATGTTGCCCCTGAAATTGTGCAACATGGCAGCTATGGGTCCCAAAGCATTAGAGCAAGGAATTTCTGCTAAGGACCTTCAGCATTTGCTAGTAAGCTGACATGGAAAGAATTTTCCTTGACTTCTCCAATTCCGTTGACCCCTCTTGACATTCTCTGGTATGAACTGTACCTTTTCAGTATTATGCCAGAGCCCTTTTGTAAGATCCAGAGAAAATAGTCCACGCCTTTTCAGAAAACTAGCGCTTCCTGCAGCTGTGAAAAGCCCTTGGCAGAGCATCGCCTCAGAGGCGTGGGAGGAAAGGCTGCCACAGTTCCCAGACTTAGCTGTGAATCAGTGCACCTGTGGCCTGGCCGTGCCAGGAAGCTTGGGTGTGGCGTGGCTGAGAAAGGAGGAACAATCTTGGGGGGCAGACTTGGTCCTATTTTTGTAGCTTCAAACTTTCAGTGTTTTCTTTGTTACTCAAAGTAAAAACTGAAAGCTCATCAGATTTCCAAATATATAAATAATCCTATTTCAAAAGTTTTCCTGGAAGCTGATGGATCAGACTCCCAGCCTGGCCCCCAAAGTCAAGAGAATCCAGTTCCTTGTCTCTCTCTTTCAAGCCAGGGCAAAGATTAATTCAGCAAGGCTCAGCCACCATTTTCAAATAACTGGGGAAAATCCCAAATCAGTTGTGACCTGGAAGGTTAGTCTACATTTTTATATGAAATATACATCACCTCCAAAGATACTTAAGGAAAGGGAATAGAGGGTTCAACATTGTAATGATAACATACAATACTTTTTTTAATGCATAATGCTTTTCTGGGCACTTTATCAAGTATATTTTTTAATCCTTGGCACAAAACTATGAAGTTGATTGCATTGTTCCCATGTGTCCCTGAGGCTCACAGAAGTTACATGACTTCTGCAAGGTCACGTGGCCAATAGATGGCAAAAAGGAACCTGGATAAAGGTCTTCAGGGGAAAAAAATGCTCTTTCCACCAAAACTATTCCCAGCTCCTCAGCGCTGTTTCCCATGGTGGAAACTGTTAGCATCATGAAACAAAGGTGAGGAATTAAGGAGAGGCTTTGGAGGAATTAAGGTAAATCTGCCTTCCACAGCTCCATTATACAGAACAAAAGCATCATCACAAATAATTAATAATTTAATTATAATATATGATAAATATGATTATAATTATAACTCATAATAATTGTAATATACAGTAAATAATAATAATAAAGGTGACTGGTTCTCAAGCTCTTGCTATGCCCAGCCACTGCATTGCTTGCTGGTCATTTACGATCACTTTGCCTACACAGTAATCCTGTGGAATATGATATTATCCCCATTTTTCAAGTGCTCAGACAAATTAGACAAACAGCTGAAAGACACAGTTGTTGGGGGCAGAGGTAGGATTCCATTCAAACCTGTCTGTAGCTGACACTCCTCCTACTATGTACGGACATAAACAACATTGTTGGAGAACTTAAATCTGGGCCGTGTTAAGGGCTACCTGGAACTGGGCTATGAATCACTGGGATGAATTTACCTCAATATCACATGAGGCTGGGCTTTATGAATGTCTGTACATTATATTGGGGCAAAGTGATGGGAGTGGAATTCTCCCTGCTCTTTCAGAGGAAATTAAAATAATGCAGGGAAAGAGACTGGAACTTTGTACCAGGTCTCTTTATGAGGTCTGCTAACAATCAGAGCTCTACCTACCTCAGACTGAGTGTTTGAAACATGCCAGGCAGGCACTGTTCCAGGCACTTTGTGTGGATTATCTCATGAAACCCTTTCACCAAGCAACTGAGGTAGTTATTCTTGTTATCCACATCTCACAGATGAGGTATAGAGAGCTTAAGTAAATTTCCCAAAACTCCAAGAATGCTGGATGCCCCAGCCCACTGTTGAACACCACCGAGACAGACTTATGAGGAGGATGTTTTCACATGGGCCCCTAAATTGCTTTTACTGTTGCCCTGAACATAGTGGATGTATATTATAAAACAGAAGCCTTCTCCATTGATCTAGACCCATCCATAAAAAGACCTTTTATGTCCAATCTCTCTTGACTGAGATTTTCTTTTTTCCCCTAATGGATCTGAAAAATCGAGCCAATAGAGAGATGAAAGAAAAACTTATATCTACTTTTAGAATCATCGAGTATCTCTTTTCTCTCTTCTGAGGCCAGCTGAAACACTAAAAGCTTCCACTCTCCCTGCCTGGATCTTTGTCTCAATTATTTACCACAGTTGCTTCTTCCTCGATTGATGTCTGGGGTAGATTGGGTGTTTTCACATTTCCTCTGGGTGCTGGCAGCCAGAGCTGCTTTCTGCGGTGTGGAAGTTTAGAGCAGTGGCTGGAGCTGTGTTTTGAGGAAATACCTAACCGCTTCTGAGAAATCAGTTACTGGAGCTCCCGGGCACCCGAGCTGGAATGCTGCTGCCAGTGGGTCAGCACGAAGTCAGCCACTCAGGCCGCAGACTGAGGCCCCTCCGCACTTCTTTGTTCCACTTGTTACCACCCCTGACCTTTCCACATCTGCAGTTCCTGCGTTCTTCTCCATCCCTTGCAAAGTCGTCAGTGAGAATCTGGCCATTCTGAGCCAGATGAGAACTTGGAGGTAATCTAGTACCTCCCACTATGAGGGGTCTGAAGTACGGAGAAGGGAAGGTGGCCCCGCAGAAAGCCTTGAAGCCTGGTTCCTCAAGCTGGTCCCCCCTCCCGCCTCCCCCGTGCCATGCACCCTGTGCTCACTTTCCTGGCCTGCCTCTTACACATAGGGGAGTAGAAAAGATCGTGTCCAGCAGAATTCCTGTGAGGAAGAACCCTGGATGTTTTCAGAAGAAATACTTTGATAAAGTTCCTAGCGGGAGAGGGTGAAACACCTGAGGATATATGGTCAAGCTATGAAAGACAAGTGCAAATTGCTAAGCGCGAGACTAGGAGCTGGAGGGGGAAAGTAAAAGGAAGAACTGTCCTTCCAAAAAAGAAAATGGTGTGATCAAAATGGGGAGGAGGTACTGTGAGCTATGTATTTGATCCCTCCCCACAACCCCAGATCTTCAGTAAAATAAATATGTTCACTCTCAATAACATTTGGTATGAGTGGGATTACAGTGGAAACCAGCATAGGAAACCAACCAAGGGGCTAAGTTTGCCATCAGTTGGCCCACGCTGTTCAGGCAAGAAAGTGTATGTGCAAGCAGGAGGCCGGGAGCCAGAGGAAGCCATAAGAATCCTCAGTTTCTCAGTGGGTTTGTAAATATCTAAGGGAGGGCTTTGGATTCGGTGGGAGTTGGAGCCAATTGTACCTAGAGTTCCAAAATGCAAAGGCTGACACCTGGGCATAAAGACGTATGAAAGCAGAGGGAGCCTTCCAGAGTGTACACCTGAAGCTGGCCGCGAAGTGTCTGGTCACAAGGCAGAGGGGATAACATGGCCCTGGGCTGAGCATGAAAGATAACAACAAAAAATTGCCAGTCCACAGCAAGAAAAATATTTAGTGAAAGGGCAGGACGCCTTCAGAGCTGAACTAAGGTGTGAGGGAGGAGTAGGTGGGAGAAGAGAAGAAGAAGGATAGTAATATTTTTGATGTACCTACATGCGTAGTAGCCAGAGACCTGATTCCATGTGTCGTGTGGCAGCTGCACAAAAGCTGGGGCCCCTCAGGTTCAAGACTGCATCACATTTAAAGAAACAACCCAGCAGATGAAACAGATTTATGAGCTATTCTCATGTATACTTGTGTTTCTCGATACCAGTTATGGAGCTCCCCTGTGTTGACTTACTTACTAGAGTTCTTTCTCCCGCTTTTCCAGTGCTTTGCACATCCTGCAGCCTCCTCTTTGTCAAACTCTCCCTGTTGAAAATGGTCTGTCTCTTTATCCTTTTCCTCTCCCTGTCTTCCACATAGCATGTAGCTCAATTTTGCCTCTTTGACTTCTCTTTTCATTTTCTCATATTATCCTGATTCCTTCCAAGAAAGGGGAGTTGAGGAACTGAGCCAACAAGCAAAAATCTTTCCTTTTCCCTCCAAGTGTTGTCTCCTAACTGTGCCTCACAATAAGGGTGGGAACAGAGCTGGGAAAACCAGTAATCTCCTGCGAGGGCCAGGGAGAAGCAGAAACCAATGGGCCAATTGAACTCAAGTGAGAAGGGTAAACAAGGCAGGAACTTATACATTAATACATTTTATCACTGCCACAGAGGGAACATGTATTCTTGAGGGGACTTAAGAAACGTGAAACTTTTCCTGTGCCTCTCTGTCTTGACACATCTCCCCATTTAGGAGGATTGAGAGGTGATGTTATACATAATGGTATGTGCGGCCTTCATCACCATTACTGGGAAGGCAAGAGAGCCGAAGCAGGATTCTCTTATTTCTTTAATTGGAAAGTAATAATGTTAAGTCAGTCATATTCAGTAATACCTCTTAACTACATCTAAGAAACCCAGTTCAGACTGTGAATTTGCTAAAGACACTTTAATATAGAATTTTCAAAAGCAAAATCTAGCCTGTGGTTCATAAACTCCCCCAAGAAGCTCACAGTTGTGTCATGTGGTTTCTAAGCAAAATCTCTAAGAGTTTCTCATATCCAGGCTTCTCAGAACCTTGATAGAAGGGATATTCTGATTGTGTCTGCTTTTGCCTTCCCCAGTGGTGTGAGCAAAATGAACAGTGCAGACGGCTCCACCTGCCTGAGCTGCTCGTGGCTCCACTGCACAGGCTGACTCGATACCCCTTGTTGCTGAAAAATATCTGGAAAAGGAGCACAGATGCCACGGAGAAGATCATGATCTACTCCATCCAGGAAAAGGTGGAAAAGTCAGTCCGTAAGTCCATGGGACAAACGACTCAGAGCTCCAGTGGAAGGTTAATCAGAGGGTTGGGGAGGGGGCGGGGCTCAGGTAGGAGGCTCTGGCTCCTGGGGAAGATCTAGGCTTCATTCTAGAAGGGAGTTCCACTGACTTGAGGTCATAGCTCTGAGAAATCAAACACACACAAAACAATGGGCTCCAGTCACATGCTGGCGAACCCTGCAGGAACTCTACCGGCAGGTTTATGCAGGACGTGGCTGCCTCCAAGGCTGTCACATGTGAGTCCAGGCAGGAAAAGTCTACTTCCCAGACGATTAAAGGCTTTGTTTTGAACATCCATCCTGAGCCCAAACAAAGCAAATGGGAATAAACACCATGGGAGGCCTTTCCGATGGATAAATTACTGTTCATTACTTTTTTAGGTCACTGAAATCCAGGGCCAAGCTAAAATAATGCCAACTGCAATCCTTAGAACTGAAATTGGAGAATCGGAACAGAACAAGCCTTTTGATGACTTAAGCTTATTTGAGTAGTAGCTCTGTATAATTAAATTCAAATAAAGAAGACCATGATATATGCCCTATAAACTGAGATTTCCTGGGAGTGTCAAAGGGAGCAATTCAAATTTATGACTATCAGCTGCACAGAAATGACATATATATCTGCAAACTTAAATGTAAAGTGACCATTCAATGGGAGTTTTTCCTTTTTTAAATTTTCCTTTTTTAAAAATAACCCAAGGAACTAGAATTAAGCTTATCAAGTGAATAAGAAAAAACTTCAATTAAAAACAGACTTTTTAAAACTTTTCATGTAATTTTGAAGATGATGACTCATTTTGATAGCTTGGTGAAGAAGCTTATAGCATCTCTTCTGGGGATTTCTCAATAAAATAAGGATTTTCATTGCTGGGAGAACAGATCTCTGTGGCCTTACCTTCAGTCTATGAGCTTAAAGATAGTGAATTCTCAAGGACTGCCTAACCGTGTGATTCTATGGGTCTGGGATTTGCCCTCCAGGTTCCCTCAAATCATTTCAAAACCTCAATAACAATGTTATTAGAAAATGTTGGGAAATTAATACAAACCTTCAAAAGGAAAAAAATCAGTTTTTACCAAAGAGAAATAATTATCTTTATCATTAAGCAAATGTATGTTTTATAATTAGGACAAAAATATATGTTTGTTCCTATTAGTCTGATTTTTTTTTTGTCTTCCTCTAATTATAGGTTCTATGGTATAAGAGATTAGAGAAAGCTGTTAAAGACTTCATTTGTATTATTTAAGTAAAAATGCACAATATATTTCCAACTTACAGAATTAAATTATGTAAGCTTCATTTTTCTCAGCAAGAGGCTGATTTCAAATTAGGAAGTTTTTCTAAGACATTAAACTGCAAGTAATATGTTAAAAGAAGCTAAGATATGGTTTGCCTCCAGGGGCAGTGTCTCTAAGTTATTATGGTACATCTTGGTTAAAATTTGTGCTGTAATGTCACATAAATTTAAAAATATATTGAATGTATCTTGCCTTTCAGGAGATCTTGAAGGAAAAGTGAAGTGGCTTGACAATTTTCAAAAACTTAGACATCTACAGGAGATTGTAGTGTGGCCTCCATTGTGGGAGAGAGACAAAAGGTTTTTCATTCCAGAGGTAAGAAGAGGATCCATTAGGACTTCGGGTTGGCATTCAGTTGGAATACATTAGTTTACAAAGTCCCCAGCTGTCCACTTGAATATTAAATCTAGTTTTATGAGCAAGAAGCACAGACTTCACCCACAGGGGATGGGATTGTCTGCATGTGGGGAGGCTGACGTCATCCCACCATTCTTGGGCTGGTCCTTCTGAGTGATCTTTCCCCTGCTTTCCCATTCCTGTGTCCATCTACTGACATTTCTACATGTCTTAAACTTTATGGACAAAGTGCAGCGCCTCAGCTCCAGGAACATGCTTTCTTCCAACCACTAACCAGCTCTCTTTGATTTTCTTCCTTGTTTTGCAAGAGCCTGAAACACATTTTTAAAGAACACATGGCGGAAAACATCCTGTCACCAACCAACAGACACCTTCTCTATGAGGGAAAATTAACCCTTGCAGGTAAATAAGTTTTTCTTTGAAAAAACCAACATCTTTGCTACCATGTAACTTGTCCAATTGTTGTTAATTAAAGGGTAGGAAGAATTGTGTTTGTCCATGGCCAAGGCCAAAGAAGATGTGAGTCAGAGAACATGCTGTGGACTCACGCAGGTGCCGGCTTGATCAAAGGCTTCCTAACATAACTAGCTTCATGCTCTGCATTTTCTCTCTGTAAAAAGGGATAACTATATCTATCTCATAAGACTGTTGTTAAAATGAAATCACTACATGAAGATCTTAACCGGAGGCTGGAAACATAATAAACACTGTACATCAGCTGTTACCATCATTTTACTCCACCAATGAACTGGGCAATCATCCTATCAGTGTTGATTGAGAACCTGTTTTGTAACATGTGTTGTAGTAGGTAGGCATCACTGGAAGATATAATCCTCCTCTTCTAGTTGGGAAGCTGTACTGCAATAAGCAAGCCTGCAGCATAAGTTCAGAAAAGAAGAGAGGCTGTGAAGCTGGAGTACCCAGGAAAGATTTCATGTGTTCCATGGGACTAGAGGTGAGCTTGGGAGGAGAGAAAGATGGAAATCACTGGAGGGACAGGAGGGAGGACGTCCCATAGGATTTGCATTAGTTCACTTATTTGTTTCTGCAGAAAATCTCAATTGGGCACCAATTGCGTGAGAAGCCCTGTGGGATATGTGGTTGCCTATTGATAGCATTGTGAGATCTGGCGGGGAGTGCCAGGCAATAACTCTTGATTTGATAGACATTTGTGGAGAATCTGCTGTATTTTAGTTCTAGATGTGTGGTTGCGATGTAACCCCTACCTGGCACCTGTCAGCTAGAGAAAGTAGACACGCCTGACATTTTATATCAAAGGGCTTTTTCACACATTTCCTCTTTCCCGTGTGTTATTCAGAGAAGTTATATTTACTCCTAAGTTATAGGTGAGAAATATGAGGCTCGGGGAGCTTCTGAATCATGCTCAAGGTCACCTGGAGGTTAACTGCAGAGTCCAGGAAGCCGCAGCCTACTAGGCTTCCAAAAAGAGGAACTCAGTCAGGAAATTGCTAACAACAAGTGACAGCTTTAAATGGGTGTTGAAGAAAGAGTCATCAGAAGCTATGCACAGAATGGACTAGAGGGGGAGACCACAACAGAGACACCAGCCCTCAAGCTCTGTAGTGAAGCAGGGTGCAGCAAGAAGGCCCCGAGCCTGTTTCTCAACCATTCTCAACCTCTAGAGACCATCCATCCCTTCTCCACTTTCATTTGGAAAGATAACAATTATAAATTTTCTTTGATGTTATTTACAATTTCAAAAATAATTATATACTGTGACAAAATCAAATCAAAGTAATGAAGCAAAACACAGCTTTGTGTTCAAACACAAGCCTCTCCCTCCAAAATTGGTTTCCACCTGGAATTATCAGAGATTTTGATTCCTCACTTCCCTCTATCTACCAACTTTCCAACACTGTGAGATGTACTGGCCTATCCTAAAATATTAGAAATGAACATGAATAGAAAAGGATAAATATGAGAAGTATTTCAAAGGCAAAAATAAGGGGACTCTATGATTGGTAAAAATAGTTGAAGAGGAAATGAGCGGGTGCCTTCAAGTGTTCTAATCCATGTGCTTGGAAGGTGGGTTGATCACACTCAGGGTGGCAGAGGGAATGGGTTAAGGAGGCAATTTTAGGGCAGGATGAGAAGCCACGTGGAAGTTGGATGAACATGATAATGACCATCTCTCAGTGAAAAGCTATATTAGATGTGCATTCACATGTCAGGTGGCTTTGGGGTGCTTCTCACGAAAGTATGGGTGGGAGACTGGCTTAAGAAGGAGTCTTTATAAATAGATCCAACTTTTCAGAAAAGTTTCCTGTAGAGTCAAATGTAGTGGAATAAAGATGAACCACATAAACATCACCAACACCAGGCAACTGTTTAATGGCATGTGCTGGGTTCATCAGATTCCATCAAAGGGATGGCACCATGTAGTAGCGGCAACTTACCAAGTTTAAAGTCACTGGGACTTGGACTCAGAGTTTTCATGGAGATGGGGCGTGGGCGGGGGTGATCGTGGAAGAAGGAACAGGGCATCATTTTGAATGGGAAAAGCAGTGGACTAAGAATCAGGAGAACCAAATAATTTTGGGTAAAATTATATAAATTGTCTTCATTTCTTCTGTAAACGTTGATGGTGATGACGGCGATGAGGGTGATGGTGACGGTGATGATGGTGCCACCCAGCACATAAATTTTGTTCCCAAATTTCTTTCCCCTTTAAAGTCTGTACTGTTGTAACCAAATAAGTATATTTTATTTTCACATTCCCAGAGAGTATAAGTTTTCATAACTTTTAGAGCATAAGCACCTTCCCATTGGAAGTCAAGCCAGAACACCCTTCACAAACGTGTTTCTCCCCATAGACTGGTATTTCTAAATAGAAAAACGAACTGAGGTGCAGACAAATATGATCGTCTGACAGCGGCAACATTAAAGAACACATGTTGTTCAAGCTGCTGCCCAACTGGAGTAAGTCCATGATGCTGCTCCATTCTCGAATGGTGCAATGAAAGCCACGGTCCAGACTCTATAAGAAAAAAATAAAGACGTAGTCAACACAGAACTGCAAAAATTTGTAAGCCTCAGATCTGGTTGTATAGCTCTTAGCTAAGATTTTTCAGAATCACGATGTTCATTAATTAAGTTTCAAGAAATAACTTGGTTAAAGTGTTTCACTGGGTTGCGATAGCTTCATACACCTTGAGTAATAAATGTGAGCAGCCTGATTTTATGCTTACAATCTTCCTCCTTAGTCATGTTCTTTTATATTACCGTATCTATTTTTTAGAACTATCAATTTCCGATTTATCTTATTTTAAGTCTTGTTTATGTATTTATTATGTGTCTGCTCTCAATGGAAATAAAACTCCTTGAAGGCAGAGATTCTGTCTTAGGCATTGATGCACTGTAGGCAGTCACTATCTGATGACTGCTCGGTGGGACACGAAGGCCTCAATAAATAGCTAAAATAATCATCATTTTCTAAAACAAATTGTAGGGCCTAGCTCACTGCCTGCTTGTTAAAATAAAATAGTTAAAGTTAGCAAGAGAAGAAAGCTATTTCATTTTGACAATGTTCACCGACCTTTTATATATGAATAGTACATGGTGGGGAAAACAACACTTAACGGGTCTAATGTTGTCCAATGTCTCATTCCTAGAGCTGTGTGTATATTAGTTAAGATAGTTGTTCAGCCATTGGAGACAGAGAGAGATTAAAAAAAACACTTCAAAGGACAAGTTTATTTCTCTCTCCTATAAAATCCAGAGCTCAGTGACAGCTTTTCTCCATGGTGTGTTTAGGGACCCAGGTTTCTTTGGTCTCTCTTCGTCCATCCCTGGGGTACTGCTTTCTTCTGTGTGGTCCCAGAAGAGTCTCCAAGGTGTATAGCTGGCGGGAGGGACAGGGGAACAGGCGGGCTATTTAAGGCTCTGACTCATGAGTTGCACATGTTTTCTCATATTCTATTGGCCAGAATGTAGTCACTTGGTCATATGAAACTACAAAGGAGGCTGGCAGATGTAGTATTTATTTGCAGTGAACACGTACCCACTAAAACTCAGAAATTCCCTTACTACAAAAGAAGGGGAAGGCTTTTGAAGGACAATCAGCAGTCTTTGAAAATAGCCTGATTTTGAAAAAAAAAAAAAGTTTTAGTAGTGATGGAATACAATTTTTAAAAAATATTCAAGGACAATTCAAAATCGAGTAAAATATCTGATTTCTCTTCTATGCAAATATGGAAAGAATCTTCCTTTTAAACTTAAATAAGAGAAGGAAATAGAAATGAATTCATAATATTTTATCTGATAATTTCATCTTAGCCACCTAGTTTCCAGGAATAAAAGTATATGAGAAAGGACTTCTAGAATGATATCAATAAAATAAATAAGATAATAAAAATATTTACTGATTTTTTAAATATTTACTTTAAGTATCTGTCACATTCCTCTCTGAACAGACTGCCTTTCCTCTGAAATCACGTTAACTATTTTTTCTTCTAACTTCTAACCTATAAGGTTAGAGGGGAGCATACCTTATTCTAATATTTAATTTCTCTTCTACCATTAGACCCAGCCTAGAGATAAGTAGAAAAGCCTAAGCTACTATCAAAAATTATATCAGAGAAGTTTGTAAGTAAAAAGCTGCATGAGTACTTGAAAGACAAGTACTGTTAATGCCTGTCTTAATCAGTGAGGGCCACCATAACAACATACCATATACTGGGTGGCTAAAACAACAGACGCTTCAATCTCACAGTTCTGGAGGCGGGAAGCCCGAGATGAAGCTGCCAGGCTAACTCGTGTTCGGGCGGGAGCGCTCTCTCGGGCTTGCGGGTGGCCTCCTTCTCCAGTGCAGCCGCGGCTCTCCCTCTGGGGTCTCCTCTGATGACACTCATCCTCTGGATCAGGGCTCCACCCTCATGCCTTCCTTTATTAATTACTTCCTTATTCCAAAAGCAGCCACACTGGGGACGAGGACCTCAACATATGAACGGGGGCTGGAGGTGAGGGGCAGGGGCACAATTTAGTCCACAGCAATGACAAAATGCCCTTTTTTCCTGGTAATGCGTACCTTTGCCAATGTCCACCCAGATGAGTCAAGAGGCCAAAATGCTGAAAGTTCAGTAGCTGACAGATGTGTCTGAGGCTTAGTTGAAACTATTACTAACATCATCCAAGCTATCTTAGATACATGTGAAATGCACCACAAACACAATGTCTTTAAAACTGTGAGCTTCCCAAAGTCCCTGCTTTAAGAAGAAATCAGCCCAACAGCCACGCAGTTTTCTGACCCAGGTGACTGGCGCGCCCTGAGCTGGCCTGGTGTGCCAAGGTGCCCAGCTGCATTTGTTCTCTAGAGGATGTTTTGGCTTAAAAAACAAAAAAACCTTCTGCTTACTACTTCCAGCCCCAATTTCACCTTCTTTCTTTCCTCAGAAAGTACAAGATTCCTAGATGTTTATCTGTTTCTCTTTGATGATTTCCTCTTAGTTACGAAAACTAAGCGCAACAAAAAGGTAAAATGCTGCTATTTCTAAATGTCTGCTGAATAAGTTTAGAAATATTTCCAAATAAGTTGTATTAAAATATAAAATATTTTAATAAATCAAATTGGATTCACACTCTAAAAAACGTAAACATTATAAAAGATAGTTCTGAACTAAAAAATAATAATAACAAAAGCAAATTACATTTCTTAAGGATGTCAAAGGAATGTGTACATTTATGGAATAACTTAGTCTGCATACTTTTGGGGTAAGTCCCAGAAGCCACAGGACTTTATTCCTGACCTATCTCAGCCAATGAAAACTCAAATGCTTTTGTCCATTTGGCCCTTTCATCACCCAAGTTGTCACAGTGAAAGCTGCCAGAGTGGGGGCTCTCTCGAAAATGTCTGCTGCCATGTGCTGAGGCGATAGCCATCACTCATTCTGGTTTCAAAGCTCACATCATGACTGGAAATTTGTGACTTGGAGGCTGCGGTGGGAGGGAGCCTTGATCTCTTGGTCTCTACCTGCATATAAGAGCTGCAGGAGCGAAACAAATGTATAGCTGGCATCATAGATCGGAGTCAACTGGGGGTTAAAGCCACAAAATCTCTTTCAAGAATGGGGATTTTTCCCACTACTGTATTATTAATGGTCACTATTATTGTTGTTACTAATTAGGCCATGAGTATCATGGTCCACTAAAGGCTTTCTGTCTAATCTCCCATGTCACAGTCTGTCCCCTGAATGGTGTGAATGATGTTACTAAGGGGACCTCCTCTAAGGCCCCTAGTCATCTGCTCCTAGTCGGGGTGCGGAGGAGCTGCAGCGCTGTAGGCCATCAGCTATATCTGTTGTTTGATTTACTCCTTTACCAGATGACTGGCCTTACACAGATGGAAGATCATGGCACTTAGATATCTCAGATTTTAAGAACATAAGCTTCTAGATATCATATTCGTTGGTTGAGCTAAATAATCTAAGGATCTTTAAAAATAATAGACAGTGATCGATTTATCAATCTATGAATAGTTGAATGGTCGTTGAGGAGAAAGTGGATATTGGATAGTATTAAGAACGAAAGTTTTGAAAGTTGGATGGCCTTCTCTCTTAAATTACCCAGAAAAGGCATGTTGGAACAAGACAAACTCTGAAAAATCTCTATTGCCATCAAAAACCTGACACTAAGCGCAGCTTACCTTCATATCAAATAATGGCTCAAATCTGAGTACACACATTAGTGGCAGCCAGATTGATTGTATTTATAAGGTAATATTCTGGTTTCATGCTTCACAACTTGATTCCAAAATAAGGAATGTTATCTGCTTTAAATTCCTTTTTAAATTCCTCTGTCTAATAAGTTTAAGAGAGTTTATTGACTTCATTGACTTCATAGACACAAAGATAACCACCCAGAGAAAACATCGGGCTTCACTTTTTTTCTTTGGAAAAAAGAATAGAACTATTATGTTTTATATTCCTCTTTGCAATTTGATGAACATTATATGTCATGCAAACCACAATCTTTGGCACCCTTTTAAAAAAAATTCAACATGTATTCAAAACAATTTTGATTATTTACAAATTATAAATTATAAAATCTACTTAGAGTTTAGTATTAGATCCCGTGGACAGAGCTGGCCCGAATGAGGCCCCCCCTTTCTCATCATCTCAATCAGGGCTATAGGGAGATACTGGAAAGGAAGAGCCTCCCATTGACAATTATGTGATTAAAATGTTTCCCAATTATAGACATCACACATTATTTATTCAGGTAATTAAACTTGGGTTTCAGAAACACTATGCTTTCAATCACTACGTACCTTGGGGAAATGCTTTTCAAAAAATAGTAAGCTGGATTTCAAGGAATTGTTTCTAAAAATCAATTGAAGGATGTGCACCAATATTTATTTCTTCTTTATTGCGTTATTTTTCTCCTTAATTTCAGAAAGCTGGAGGCTCGGACACGGGTGTCATGTGTCCGTCACTTACTCCTGAGCTACAAACAGTAATAAAAGAGGGCGGTTCATGCACCGTACTAGACCAGCCCATCCCACTGGATAGACTGGTAGTCAAAAGCATCGATCCACTCCACGTGTCAGGTATGGGTCAATTTTCATCATTCAATTCATCTGTTTTCCATTGCAGAGTTGTGTATTGGCCTTTTTTGGTGACAGCACATAAATCCAATTTAAGTCTTCATAAAAGAAGATACTGGCTTCCTATGTAGCTGTATATCACTCACTCTACAAATTAGTCATGAAAGAGTGTTGGACTTGGTCTCCAGTGCTTAGATGACCCACTCTGCCACTTGCTAGCTATGTGAGCAAAGGCAAGGAAATGACATTTTCTATACCACAGATTCCTCTTGGTAAAATAGGGATAATGAAATCTTCATTAGTGGATTGTCATGAGAATTAAATGAAACAATGCATGTAAAGCACTCAATAAATGACAGCTATTTTCAGTATTATGATATTATCATTATTGGTACTCTTGCTATTGATAAATCACTAGTATACCACAACACACTATGAAAGACCAAGATATTCTGTTACAATAGCTATATAAAAAGAAAGATGCCCGAAATAATGTTTTCATATGTCATGTGTCAGAAATATATGTATATTATTTTTACTCACGTTTAAAGCATTTCCTGAGTGTCTACAGAGAACCAGGCACTCTGTTGAGTGCCCTGGAGTTACAGAGATGAATAAGAAACAGCCCTTTTCCTTGGGGATCTCTCAGAACAATGAACCACAAAGATCAGTAAATCCTGTCATGAAAGCCCTGACACTCAAGGGACTTAGAGGACATTTCAGCCTCTTCAGTGCTGGGTAGTGTTCGGGAGGAAGCAGATGGTCACTCTGCCCTGGATATAGGCTCCTAGGAGACCAGCTGAAGCCAGGCAGGAGGGGGTTGCCTTTCTGCTCCAAGGAAGGAGCAGGAAAAGAGGGAGCACTAACCATTCCCCTCAATTCCCATCCCTGCAGCCAAGCCCAAAGCATCAAAGACTAGCATAGGAGGACCTATCCATACGGAGCAGCATTACATGGTGAATGAATGAATGGATGAATACACAAATGGACAGTTAATAGCAAACATTTATATTGTTACAGTATATAACTAAGGTTTTTTCTTTTTTAAGCGATAAAAACACCTTTTTAAAACTATACTCCTACCATTTTATTACTTTTTGATGTCACTACCACCTCTTGTTTCTTTTTAAAAATATTTTCCTCATTCCTCTGGCCTCTTATTTTGACTGTTCAGATACAGTTCCTGAGGCAGAATAGCTGTCGAGTGAGAAAGAGCAAAGGGTGAAAAGAGAAGAGATTGAGCTTTGGAGTGACCGAGATGGGATTTCAAACCCTGGCTCTATGACTTACTGTGGGATCTTGGAAAAGTTAATCTAAATCTGTACATGGGAATCATCTGACCTATCTTATGTGGTTGCTGTAGGTTTAAATGGCAAAAAAAAAAAAAAAAAAAAAAAAAAAAAAAAAAAAGGGAGGGGGGAAGCACCAAAGAGAGAGAGAGAGAGAGACAGCATGGTGCTCAGTACAAAATACCTGCTTGTAAATGGTGTCAATTATTATATTCATTATTATTAATTATTAAATTAGAATGTCAGGGGGAAAGAGAACTATTCCTGACCACATATTACATCATTTTATTTTACAAGCCTAACCATACCAGGTCCTCTTGCTCAGAAACTCCCTCGTACCCGCATTGCAAACCAAGTAAGTGAGGGGCGCCTTCAATGACTGAGAACAGTTACAGTCTTGGGGAACATGGATTCCAAAAGCTAGCCAAGGGAAACAACCTGATCTTTAAAGCCTCACTTGCTACAGGGAATTTATAAGGAGAAAAATGAGGGAGTAAAACAAACACAAATCTCTTTTTCCAGACAGTCATTTTAATAGGTTTAAGTCTTCTCGCCTCAGAGAAGCTGAGCAATTTCATGACCTTAACAGACTTTGTTGAAGTAGGATTTAGGAATTATGAGAGACTATTATGAGTATAATCTGTGATACTGGAATAGTTCCTGCAGTTAAGAAAATAAAAAAGTCTGGCAATTGCTTCGACTCTGAAGTGAGGCCCAACCTGCCTCAATGAGTCTGAGTTAAACCTACAAACTCCAAAAAATAGAAAAAATGACGGTGGATAAGCATCCGCTTAAATGATCAACCAGGAAAAAAGCGCTCTTCTAGGACCTTTCTCACCTATCTGACATGACCAGGACACACCCTGGTTCAGTGATTTGGTTTGTTTCTAAGTATTAGTCAATTATAGGAAGGATGTATAGGCTGTAGAATTTTATTCTCGGTGTTGTATTAATAATTCAGAAGAAGCTTTTATTTTAACAGCTCCTGCTAATATATAGGTATATGAGTCTGCTCTTCCACTCCCTCCTGTCATTTCTTTAAGAGACCAGCCAGGAAATGACAGAACAGACTGTTCGTTTGCAAACACAGAAACCATGCCAACATTTGTTTCTTTTTGTTTTGTTCTACATTTCACATACTTTGGTGGATGTTAGATTTTATTTGAATCTATTTTTTTTCTTTTCTTACCCTGTTGTAGAGCATTCAGGTAGTTTTGTATTTTTGCCACACCTTAATTTGTTTATAACCTTTGTTTTGATGTGGCTTCCTTTTAAATACAAAAATAAATAAAACGTTTTTAAAAGAAGTGGTGGGGATCTAAAAAGAAACAATAATTCCATTGTTTTCCATGTTTTTATTATCTGTATTTTACACACACAAAATCTGCTCAACATGCTAAACTTCTGTGAGGAGGAGCCCATTTTCCATCACAAGCCCTAAGTGCATCTAATCAAGCTCCAGGAGTTGTTAGCTAAATGAGAAAGGGGTTTCTGATTTAAGTGGACTCCATTTGGGCACAGTAATTGTCCAAGTTTTGGTCTTGGGATCAGACTTTATCAGCATAAACCTCCCAACGATATTTAAAAACAAACACAAACTCTAGGTTCTTGCTGAAGAACTGAGACACTGTTTGGATTTCATATTAAATAATTTGGCTGTTTGTCTTTGTAATCTTTTTCTAGTCTGTGGGCTGAGAAATGCCTTCCTTATTCAACATGAAAACCGGTATCGACAGTGTATAGCAGCATTCTTGTTACAAGCCCAAACGGAAAACATCAAGGTATGTATTTCAATTTTGTAGGTTTTGATTCTTCAAACTTGACGTAAGGAAAAATCTCATCCAAAGGTGAATGGAAAGCTTTGTTTCTCTCACCTGCTTTGGGAAGGGCAAGTGTTGGGAGGTGGGGAGGAACATGGACATCTAGTCTGTCTTGCGCTCAGAAACCTCAAGGTGACAATTTCCTCACACTCGCAGAGTCAATACAGCCTCCCTCACTTTCTCCTGCGGCAGAAGCTCGAGGATGGCTTCTGTGGTCTACAGTTTCTGTATGAAATGGGGGAAGAACTGCTTTGGGTTGCATGATTGGCATTAAGGTGCTCCAATCAATTTCCAAAGTCTCAGTAAGCAAATAATATGATGTCCACTTAAGTGAGGGGCTGCTGCAGTAATGAACCATGTCAAGTCTGCTCTCCAACCTTTGAAATTAGACCACTGTTTTTGGAACAATGGAGTTGAAAATCAGCTGCCTGACCCTGGTTTCTCTATCTTAGAAGTTTCCATTTTTGTCTTTCTTCTGGTAGGCTTTCATCATAGCAACAAGGTAACCAGACAATAAATGCAATATTGCATTCTTCTTCAGGACTCAATTTCCTGAGTCATCTCCCTGAGTCTGTTTTTCAAATTATACCATTGATTAAGGATTTCTATTTCCACACAAAACAGAAAGTCAATGTTCAAAGTATTTATAATCTAATTAGTCACCATTGATTATTATGGTTCTTTGATTACTCCTGTTTATCCCACTTGCATATCATAATAGTGTAATCCATTTGCAGAGATATTGATGATATATTAGATGTAAGAAAGAAAATGGGAACCATATGCAAATGTTTTATTAGTTTTCAGTTTTAAATAACAATAAAGGAAAATATTAATCCAATTGTGAAAAAATTGTCAAGATAACATTCTTCTCTCTCTCTCCCCCCTCCCCCGTGTGTGTGTGTGTGTGTGTGCACGCGCGCATGTGTGGATATATGTATTTTATTTACAGAAAACATGGATGGCACAAATAACAGCAGCAATCTCTTGCTTCACCAAGAGTCAGGAAACCAAGAAAATATCTTTATTCCCATCGCCTGCTGAATCCTCTGAAATTTAGGACCTAAAACCACCTTTTGAGAAGTGAGGGATGAGGGTATGCTTTCAAATTTTTTTAACACTTAGTGATGAGCTAGAAAGAAATGTGCCTTTTAAAGGAATTCCAGAATTCGAGCTAAGAAAATCCTCAGTTCAGAGGAATAATGACTGCAACAAATTTGAATGGAAGAATTTCTTGTCAAGTATATACTGATATTCAGACTGCCTTACAATGCTTCAGTCTGGCTGACAAGAGGTGTGAGTGAGGTACGGTGCTGTCATGATTTGTAAAGGGTGAGTTATCAGATGCATGGAGCACCAGGAGGAAAGGAACATTTGTGTCCAGTGCGAGTTCTACCATCTTTGTGTGTTATCTGCAATGAAACCAACTTCCCTACATACATGGCTTGTAAATCGGTCTTACTGCTTTATAGTCCTACCTCACACACAATGATAATTCATTTGATACAAAGTTTGATTGTTCTCTTAATATACTAAGCAATAAATAGGGGCTACATTTTAATAGTTTTTAAATTCCTATTCTCCAACAGTTCACTTATCTCAGGTATACTTCATAATACTCTAACTTAAAAATAGAAAATTCCAAAGACTAACTTCTATTATTTTAAGAAAGGGAAAGCAAGTATCTACCTGTTCTAGTTTCACAAGTTAATGCTTCACATGGCAAATTTTCTTAGGAATAATAAGTTACCTTTCTCTAAATCTAGTTTTTTGAATAATGGAGTTTGTCATAGAAAATATTCTGGTTCTGAACAGGATGGGGTTGTGTGAGTGTTTTACCACAGCACAGCCACTGAACTTTACTGGGCAACCTGAAATTTCCTTAGAATTTCTATGAAGAAAGGCAGCCTGAATTATTATATTGTCTCGGTAGAACATACCAATAATTGCATTTAAGGTAACAGGTCTATGGTCAGATTATATCAAATGGAAATCCACAAATTTCACTTTTAGCCACATGTCTTATGTGATTTCCAAAGTGAAAATACTAAATTGATCAACTTGGGCTGCCAGAAAAATGATTCACTTAACCAGTCTCTCTAAAGTTGAGGATGGTATGATGCTCAGAAGTCGTGTGGAACAGTGAATTCTTGGAGGAAAACCCAAATTTCACCATACTAGCCAGGCAGTGCAGACAAGGGTAGCACAAAGGCTCCCGTGCAAAGGCCAAGCACTGCTGTAATGGACAGCCACTGTCTTCGCGTGATGATGTGAGACATTTGTAGAAGTAAGTGAAAATAAAAGGAAAACCTGGAAAGCAATAACTACTGTTAAAGGCTAAAAATAAATGAGAAAAAAAAGACAAAGGGGAGAAGAGACGTCAAGTGAATTCCTAGAGATGGGACGTGGGTGAGATTGAAAGGAATTTATGTTCAGAAGACAATACAGACTAACACAAGATGTAGGAGAAAAACATATGGCCAAAAATCATACACGCACACATATTTAGAAAAAGAAATTAACAATAATCTTGCAGGGATTTTTAGACATAACCTGATTTAGGAGGAGGGTGACGGACTACGGCAAGGCAATCTCTCAAGGTTCCTTTAGTCACATGGGTTCAGTAACCATATATTGACATGCATAAAGGACTAGTTTCTCCCTAAAATGTCATTAGAAAAAAAACTGACTAAATTAACATCAAGAATGTAAAATAGTTTATATACAAAGAAATATGAGCACTCCTATGTTTACTGCAGCACTATTCACAATAGCCAAGATGTGAAAAAAACCTTAATGTCCATTGACAGGTGAATGGATAAAGAAAACGTGGTATTTATGTATAGGATGGAATACTACTCAGCCTTTAAAAAGAAGGAAATTCTGCAACATAACATGGATGAACCTTGAGGACATTATATGCTAAGTGAAATAATCTAGTCACAGAAACACAAATACTGTCTGATTGCACTTATGTATCTATAATAGTCAAAGTCATAGACTCAAAGCATGAAATGGTAGTTGCCCGTGAAATAGGGGAGGAAATGAGTAGGTACTAATCAATGTCTAAAGTTTCAGTTAAGCAAGATGAGTAAGCCCTAGCAATCTTCTGTACACTTAAAAAGATGTCATGAGGACAGATCTCATGTTAGCTGCTCTTATGACAGTAAAATAAAATTTAAAACAAGAATACACTATATACTTAAACTGAAATTCTATAAAGCTCAGAAAAGAATATGTCTAATACAGAATATATTAAGTGCTAGAAGATATACACAGTAAATTCTTCAGAGAGAAGCTTATTAGAGTAAAATGAAAAAACATTCTGGAACTTTGGTTCCTGGGGGGTAGAGGAAAGGGATAAAAAAGAAACAGTAAAAAGCAATGGTACATTAAGCCTTTACAACAGTGTTTTTAAACGGTGACCTGGGTGTTAAACTTAGATACAAAATGAAAGAAGATATTAATTTAATTTTGTTTAGTATTTTGTTTTAGTTTTGTTAATTCTTCACAATAATAAGTGAAATGAAAAGGGAATGTCTCAAACAAAATGGCATTAGTAATTTCTCTTGAAATTATAAACTTGATTACTATTCTAAGTTGAGCATTAAAGCATACCCACTCTCTATAGCCAAGCGCAAAGTTCTAGCATTCTGTAAATAAATGAATGCAAAATGGTTAATATTTTGCTATCTTTTTTAAATAGACAAAATAATTTGTAGTCACAGAATACATCTACTAGAAAGAAATGTTTTTAATATCATCTTTAACATATTAAAAAAACAAAAACAACAATTCAATAAGGATCCTTCCATTGATCTTTATACAGATTTAAATGCTATCATGTAATTCATCAGTTACATTGGTAATCAATAACCTTCCAATCACTGAGTTTAGAAATTACAGTATTTACTGAGCTAAACTCTCTCACAAAATAAGGCACAACAACATGATCACAAGTAGTAAACACAATACAAATAATGAATCCAAAAACTAAACAAGAAAATATTCATGCGAAAGTATCTACATAAGATATGAATATATGATCCAGTTCAAAGAAGTACAGAATGTCATATACATAACTGTATCATGTTACAATAAATTCATTACTCCTACACTGGAAAAACTTAGCTATTTCCGATTCTATTTTACACAATTTTACATAAATTTAGTAAGTTTATGCACAATATTCACATCTGTAACAATAACAAATTGATCATTGAAATTCAGGCAAAGGGCAATTAAGACACGCTAATGTGTGGCACATTATAATTATCGAATAGCATTCATCACGCTCATGTCTAGGAATACTAAATTGACGGCACATTTAAATCTTATGGATCAAGTCATCCATGGTTTTATAGCCAAAGTGCATTAAAAAAAATTGCTATAGTCAAATAGATCATGAATATCAAAATATATGATCATAATTTGCTCTCCACTTAAAAGCTGAATATTTTTATGCAAATGCAAGGTTAAAAAAAGTGGATTTAAAGTTCTCCAAACTATAAAATAATCATAAAGCCTTTTTAAAGGGATATGGGAAACTAACAAATTTGGCAATTACTATTTAACGTTATTGTGAGGAAACTATTAAACTAGCTAATTCCACATTAAGAGGTAGTTGAACAAAAGGTTATTTGTACACTGCTTTGAGGTTTTTGTGTTTGTTTCCCTCTTTTTTCTTCAAAGTGAACAAAGCTTTGTCTTCTTTCTATTAAAAAAAAAATTCCATACGTACAGTTTACTATACGCTAACCCAGCAAGACTTGATTTTAGCTCACATTTCTGTGCTGGGGTTGGATTTTACTAACACGTGATGCTAATATGCTTTGCATTAGAGCCGAGAGCTGAGATTCCCCACATGCTCTAACTCACTAACAAATAGTACCAGCAGACATCTAAAATGTAGATCCAATAAGGACTGAGAAGATGATTTTTTTGTCTACAGCCATTCCACCCTGAATGTACCCGATACCGTCTAATCTCTGAAGATAAGCAGGATCAGGCCTGGTTAGTACTTGGAGAGGAGAAGGTGACTTTTTCAATTAAAAGAAAGAAAAAACCCTCTCACTTTTGTTTCCAAATACCTTAAATTGGTGAGAGTTAACAACAAAAATATTAGTTTTAATTTGTATTATTATTAATTCAATAGTCTACAGTAAATTACTCAGGACCTAGGAAATGAAATTAGCTAAATGAAAACTAGAAAATCACTCAGATACAATTTTGTTTGTTGTCCTTACAGTTGTGTTTTGTTTTGTTGTTTTTTGGTGAATATTGTGGGTAGGGGAATAAGGGGGAAAAGGCCTTCAGTATACACAGTTAGGAGATGAAGTTAACAAATATTCTAACCCAGAATAATTCCCATGAAGTTTTATTATCTTAAAAAAATAAACAGTGGTACTGTAATTATCTATTTTTTCCAACACATTTATTAAATCCCTTATTTGTAAAAGTACAGAATTAAGATTGCTTGAAAGGATTTATAAGTATATGAAAATAAATAAATAATTTTAGCTCAATTATATTACCCAAGTATTATTTTTAATGAAGAGCCATCATATTTCTTCATCATATATGCTAAATGTTATATGTTTATCCAAGTCCAGGGCTTCAATCAGGGTCCTTAATAGCTACTGACAATAGGGTTTACTTAAATGGGGTTTTTAAATAATTAAACAAATATGTGGCACTCTCTTTAAGTTTATATATAGAGAGAGAGAAAGAATAAACATTTTGCTTCAGCATGGTACTTGAAAGCAAGTACATATTATAAACTATTTATTATAAATGAAATATTAACTCTCATCCTTTCCTGTTATTACTACCAAATAACTGCACTGAACAAATGTATAACTTTACACTTCTTCTCTAGAAAGAGTAATAAACCAATATTAATGACTTCTCTCTTCAGATGTTTTCCAATTTTCCAAATTAATACGGCTATGATAATTTAAATTTTAATTCAATTGTTCAGCATACGAATAAGCTAATTTTTAATTATCCTAAATTAGCCATTCTTTTTCAGTTCTGATTGCAACTCGGGGATTCTTAAATACATTGCTTTCTAGTGAAACTCTATTCTCCAGCTATTACTTCAAGGTAATTTCACAGCATTATTTTTGCAAAATAAAAAAGATTTACCAGTTAATATGGAGCCCACGTTTAGAGCCATTTTAAATTTAAGTTCTTGATTTAAAAAGATATTCTTCCCTATTACGTAAGAAGAAAATATAAAATAGAATATTTAATGTCTCCTTACCATTTTGCATTTTGTTTTCACAAATATAATAAGACTCTAGCAACATCAGCAACTGGCTTTAAGATGCAAAAATTATAAAACAATTACAGTGAAGCTGAGCTATACTTGAGATGGTTAAACCAAATAAAGGTAAAAAAAGAGATCCACTGAAAAAACAAACTCATTCCTGAAGATGCTGGAGACACAAAATGAGGGGATAATATGAAGGCTAATCTCAGAAAACTTCCCACCTACAAGAAAATGGGAATAGGACCATCAGACAATTTCTATCATTC